CGTCATTTCAGCTCATGACGGCATCAAAACAATAGCCGCGTTTCCACTGAAAGCATGGCGAAGCGGCTCTCCACGGCGAAAAAGTTAAGAAACTCGCTGCACACACACACACACAAAGTCCCCTCCGTGCACGTCTGTCTGAGGTGCCAGACCGAGTGTGTGTGTCCGAGTCAAGAGCGCGCGAGAGAGACTATGAGACCGCACGCTCAACAGTGCGCGAGCGAGAGAGAAGCTGCGTCCCAATGTGTGCATACTATGCCTGAAATAGTATTGACAGTTACTAATGTCACATACTATTTAGGCACATTACGACGCAGCTAGAGTGTGACTTTTATTTTAACTTATATAAACTAATATAATTTATTTTACAGGACAGTTTAAAGCTCATAACCATATTTTGTTGTTACTTGAAGTACTTAGAGTGCAGTGTTATGTTGCATCATGCAGTATTTGTCATTTTAAGAGTAAATGCCTATTTTATTTGTGTACATTTTAATCATTAACATTAAAAGCAACATTAAAAGCTCTTTTCACAACTAAAATAACAGTAAAGGGAAAAAAAACTGAATTCTCAAAAATTAAAACAGAAAAAACGGAATTTGGGAAAAATAAAACGGAATTTGGGAAAAAATAAAACTGATTTTTTCTATAACAGACGCGATGGCTGATTTTACACATCTCAGTGCATCCTCCAGCGGCGGCCATCTTTGTTGTAAATGAACTCAAACTAAGCGGTCTTTGCTGACGTGGATTATTAAATCATTAACATTAAAAGCAACATTAAAAGCTCTTTTTACAACTAAAATAACAGTAAAGGAAAAAAAAAACTGAATTCCCAAAAATTAAAACGGAAAAAACAGAATTTGCAAAAGTTAAAACGGAAAAAACGGAATTTGCAAAAATTAAAACGGAAAAAACGGAATTTGCAAAAATTAAAACAGAAAAAACGGAATTTGCAAAAATTAAAACGGAAAAAACGGAATTTGCAAAAATTAAAACGGAAAAAACGGAATTTGCAAAAATTAAAGGGTTAGTTCACCCAAAAATGAAAATTAAGTCATTAATTACTCACCCCCATGCTGTACCAACCCCGTAAGACCTTCGTTCATCTTCGGAACACAAATAAAGATATTTTTGATTGAATCTGAGGGCTGGATCACTTTTCCATAGACAGCCTGAGGGACTGCCTCTTGACAGCCCAGAAAGTCATTAAAATAAAAGGTTTAAATATTCCATGTGCCTACAGCGGCTCAACTATAACTTTATCAAGCGACGAGACTACTTTTTGTGCGAAAAAAAAACGTAAATAACGACTTTATTCGACTTTCCATTACTTCCTTATGGGCGCATGCGCGAGAACTGAGACGAGACCGTTCTTCTTCGACTACTTTTTGTTACCGGCTGCTCACCGCTTAGGAGTTTTACCGCCCCCTACCGTATAAGATGACGTACTGCTTGTAAACAGAACGTTTTGCGCCTCCGGCTATATCAGTACGTCATCTTATACGGTAGGGGGCGGTAAAACTCCTAAGCGGTGAGCAGCCGGTAACAAAAAGTAGTCGAAGAAGAACGGTCTCGTCTCAGTTCTCGCGCATGCGCCCATAAGGAAGTAATGGAAAGTCGAATAAAGTCGTTATTTACGTTTTTTTTTCGCACAAAAAGTAGTCTCGTCGCTTGATAAAGTTATAGTTGAGCCACTGTAGGCACATGGAATATTTAAACCTTTTATTTTAATGACTTTCTGGGCCGTCAAGAGGCAGTCCCTCAGGCTGTCTATGGAAAAGTGATCCAGCCCTCAGATTCAATCAAAAATATCTTTATTTGTGTTCCGAAGATGAACGAAGGTCTTACGGGGTTGGTACAGCATGGGGGTGAGTAATTAATGACTTAATTTTCATTTTTGGGTGAACTAACCCTTTAAAACGGAAAAAAACAGAATTTGCAAAAATTAAAACGGAAAAAATGGAATTTGGGAAAAAATAAAACGGATTTTATAGGGCCCTACATCTTCTATAACAGACGCGATGGCTGATTTTACACATCTCAGTTCTCCAGCGGCTGCCATCTTTGTTGTAAACGAACTCAAACTAAGCGCTCTTTGCTGACGTGGATTATTACGTTACTGTTTCCATCATCGTATAAAGCCCGCCCTGACAATTTGATTGGTCCGAACCGCATACATGCTCCACAACATGCATCCAGGCTAGGAAAACCTGGCAATATGAGGGGATTTTAACATGGTTATTCCCAGGCCTGGGAAAGTCATGGGAATTTATACCACCTTGGAAAAATCCAAGGAACTCTCTTTCGGGATAGTTTTCTTCGGCGTTTACACAGCACCACCTTCCTCGCACTTTTGTGCGACGGCAGCATTTCGGGTAAGCTTAAATCTTAATTGGACGAGCTGGGGGGAACGGGGACAAAAAAGCGACACACTGGTCGTAAACCAAAAAATCCAAACAAAAACATATATAAAAAACTCTAGTCAACACTACTGAGGTTTGGGTGTTTTCATGTGGATTATATTTAAACAGACGTTAAAAAAAGTGTGTTCCTATCACACCGGTTTTGCGATTTCGGTGCAATTTTCATAAAGTGTTAGTTCACCCAAAAATGAAAACTCTGTGAGTAATTACTCTCCCTCATGTAGTTCCAACCCAGTAAGACTTCAGAACACAAATTAAGATTTTTGATTAAATCTGAGTTCACGTAGTGTAACAGCGCAGCGCTTCTGTGTTGTATGTCAGCCAATAGTGAGCCTTACGACACAGAAGCGCTGTTACACTACGTGAACTCACTCGAGACCCACAGAGAAGGAAATGAATAGTTGAATTAAGTCTTTTTTTTTTGCGCACAAAAAGTATTTTCGTCGCTTGATAAATTTAAGATTGAGCCACTGTAGACACTTGGACTATTTTAACGATGTCTTTATTAACTTTTCTGGGCCGGCAAGTTTCAATCCCTTAGAAGCCTATGGAGGAGTGATCCAGCTCTCGGATCTAATCACAAATATCTTAATTTGTGTTCTGAAGATGAACGAAAGTCTTACGGGGTTGAACAACATGAGGGAGAGTCATTACTGACAGAGTTTTCATTTTGGGGTGAACGATCACTAATATGAAACGTTAAATGCTATGGCATGGAAAAGTCATAGATAATCAGATTTGTACTTTTATTATAATGTTCACTGTATTTGACCTATAAAAAATTTGTAGTATTCTCCTTTCACTCGTTTTTAAAGTAGATTCTTAAATGCATCAAACCCATAAAACCAATCCAAGTCCAGCGATCTGTGTTGGCTGTTGGCTGCAGCACTGGTAACAAATGCAGTTAAAATGGTTCCCATCAGTGTAGACGGTGTATCAGTGGTCACCAGAGAGGCTGTGTCTGTTCTGTAACACTGACGATTCATTGGTTGGTTATTAGGGCTGGGTATTGAGACAAATTTCACAATTCGATTTCGATTCACAAGCTTGCGATTTCGATTCGATTTTCAAATTAAATATTGATTATTTTGGATATCAGTTACAATAAATGGCCATTTTTCTCAAGGGAATCAAATCGCTTAACTAATGCTGTAAACTATGGGAGTCTAGTTGTAGCCTATAGACTTCATTAGCCTAATATGAAGGTAATAATGAACTGTTTTGTAGCTATACAAACACTTAAATTACACTTATTTATTTTTATAATAAGAAGATTATATGAAATACAAACATTTACATAGTGGCTGTCATAAAAACTTGCCAGATTTATTCAAATATGCATTAAATATTGAAGAACATTAAGATTATAATGCATATGTAATATGGTGTATATATTTAGCAAAATTCTCCTCTCTGGAGTTATTTTTTCTAGCTGACTAACGAGTTTATGTGGGTTTTCTGAGGTAAATATGACGATACATGACAAGACATTGATTACGAGCTGTTTAATTGACGTCTTTCCACGATTGAAACGCAGATTGAGCGAATCAATGTGACATGATCCGGATTTCGATAAGTTGTACTCTATCTTTAACACACTTTCAGATGCTCATTCATGTTTATTTGGCGCTGTGACTGGTATTATTAAGCCGGAGGAGAGATCAGTGCTGCTGCTTCTCCAGAGCGATCTCACGCCACAGCGACAAAACGTTATTTATGTTTTTGAATTTCTAAAGAAAATGGACGTAATTTGAAAATTGAGACTTTGTTTCATATCAATAGTAACAAAGGACAAAGATTATTGCGATTTTTTTTTTTTTTTTTTTTTTTTTTTTTTTTTTTTTTTTTTTTTTAGATGCGCACAGCCGCGATACAAGGATCCATTCATTCAAATGAAACGGGATGATTAATCGATTCTTGAGATTTAAGAATCGATATCGGTTCGTACAAATGAGAATCGATTAATATCGAGAAATCGATATTTATTACCCAGCCCTATTGATTATGATGAAATCTGTCAGATGCTTCTGAAGGTGTGTGATTGATGTGTTTGTATTTCAGAGAGCAGCGTTTGCTCATTTCCCTGAGCTCAATGACTTTGCCCTGTCTAATGTGGCCGCCGTGGACACGCGAGAGTCCCTCACCAAACACTTCGGCCCTCTCAGGTAAGAGTCACGGGAAGGCTGCAGTATTTTTAACAGAGTTGTTCAAGTCCCCCTGTGGTCAATAATTTGATCACTTACATAACATTTAAACATTTTTACTTGCAGTAGTTCACTTGAAGGGATACTCCACCTCTGGAAAGATGAATATGTATTTAAAATGGCTAATTTATGTTGAAGAAATGTGATATTATTTTTGAATTTGGAGCTTTCTAGACTGAGAAAAGCCAGAAAATGCATTTTTGGCTTATGTGGATGAAAGACAACAGTTCTTCATGTTTTTTTTGAAGCTTTGATTGTTTTTACAGTGTGCAATATAACTTTTGTTCTTGTTTCTCGTGTAAAAAAACACAGTATTTTTCACACAATTTACTCATCTATATACGGCTGTTTTCACTGTCCAAAAAAAGGCCTGATGACTTCCTTGCTCTATGAAGTCCCTCCTTCAGAAATACGTAACGATTTCTGATTGTGCCAGCGGTTCCTGTGTTGTGATTCGACAGCAGCTTATCGCACGTTGCCCGGAAACATCACGCCTCTTACCATAAATTGGAGATCCACGCGCATCTGAAGTGCTTCTCCGCGGGAACGCAACAAGACCACGCCCCCTATTTTTGTCTATTCCTCTGGGTGGAGATTAGTCAAAAAACTATTCTAGTTACGTCATTAAAAAGGAAGTAGAGCAGGGCTCGACATTAAGGCTTGTCCGGGACAAGTGGATTTTTTGTAGGACAAGTAGGAAAAAATTAGTTGTCTGACCGGACAAGTTAAATTTCAAACAAAATAAAATGCCATGTTACTTCACGTTATGTGCCACTCGTTACGTCTATTTTACAGATTTAATTTTACCGTTTTGAAACGAACACATTTTTCGCGCTGCCTGTGAATGTCCTGAATGTGACTCACAGAAAGACGCGCGCCTGTATAATGCGCTTGCACAGACCCCGCGCCAGAAGTTCTCTTTCGCGCTTGAACGAACATCAACGCACACAATTAAGCCAAAATGTCATTTGTCGAGTATCTTCATAACATAAGAGCAGTCTTATGATGGACATGAAGAGTTGTGACTCGTGAGAGAATGAGATCCGCGTCTCTGTCCACAGCAGCTGCTCTTAAAGGGCCAGCTACCAATAAAGCGTTCAGTCAGTAAAGTTAATGAAAGAACAAAGGGAACAGAGAAAATTACTCACTGCTCTTGACTAAAGAACTTGTGTAGCTTTAATAAGGAGTAGTCTATATATAATTTATGCAGCGCAGACTGTTTGATAACTTAATTTAATTTCTGTATATGTCCTACCTGTTAGACAGTTCATTTTTATCCAGACATCAATGGCTTATTGATCATTTAGTTGTTATTGCTAATTTCAGAATCATCACTAATCTGTGTGTGCATTTGGTTTAGAACCAAACAAGTTGACTCATGAAACCATTTGTTTATTATATCGCAATCGCATATCACAACCGCAATATTGACCTCAATAATCACAATATGACATTTTCCCCAAAGCGTGCAGCCCTAGATAAAATTATAAATCTTTACCCGGACAAGTGACTTTTGTGCATGGACAAGTGAAACATAAATTTACTTTGCCTCAAAAAGTTAATGTCAAGCCCTGTAGAGGGATGCAGTCCAAACAGGCCGTTCGCTGTATGCTTTGAAAGGGCACTTCTGTTAAATAAAATATCTCGCTAAGCATTGAACTTTGAACTTTATGCTGTGTTCACACCGGACGCAAATTCGCGCCTGACACGTCTAGTTTGATGCTTGACCACTTTGTGTTACGGTAATTTGCGTGTCAAGAGTGAAACTGACGCACGTAAAAAAGCTAAATTTATGCGCGTGACAGGCGTCAGAATCGAAATCTGTTGGCGGCCATTGTTTTTATGTCGACCGAGCATTCATCAAGAGAGTTACCGCTCTGTATTTGCTCTGGAGAGCTACAACAGTGGCGTGGGGATCATCGTCGCCGTATATCTGTGTCCTCCGGACCCTTCAGAGCCGAACCGTTTGGCGAGTTTCACCATTTGCTCCAGGAGCTGCGCTGGATGACGGCCGCTGTCAGCGGTACTTCCGCCTGTCCCGCGCCCAGTTTGATGACCTGTTGTCCCGCATCGGAGCGAGGATCACCCTCGCCCTCATCCATCTAATCTAGCTGTCATTTATTTTTGTTTTGATGATAAATAGAGCCAGCTTCCAAAAGTTATTAACCTGTCCTGTGATTTTTGTCTCTCACGTCCAGACACGAACTTATGCGCATGTTTGTTGATTGTCTTTACATCATAATACTATTTCATATAATCTAGATATGGAATAAATAACATTCAATACAAAATGAACATGTCTCGTATATAGAAATAATGTTTTAAGTGATAAAACATTTGCTTTGTTGTGCATTAGAACCACACCAGGCATTTAGTCATATTACAAAATAATTTATTGAAGCATCCAGACACTTCACCACGTGAGCAAGCAGCTAGGCTCCTGATTGGTTAACGCGCCGCGAATTCACGCCAAAGTTTAGATTTTTCAACTCGGGCGGCAGACGCGAATTCGCATCAAACGCGTGAATACACAAATGGCACTAACAAAATCGGCAGACGCTCAATTCGCGCCATTGACACGCGAACGAGGCGTATTCGCGTCTTCCGCGCTGCGCTTCACGCCTCATTCGCGCTGCAGGAATTTTTTACGCACCTAACGCGTCTTTGCATTGACTTAACATTGAAATCATTTGCGCCTGACGCGCTATTCGCGTCCGGTATGAACGCACTTATAATTTTACAGGTACTATTTATGCTCTAACAGCAACATTACACACTAACTAAAGTTTGAAAAATAGAATTGCGAAGAACGGGACCTTTAAATTGTGAACTGGTTGTGTTTGTCAGTTATTGATTTCATATGATGTACAATATTTATAACGTGTGTGAATGAATGATTGTGTAAAGAAGGCAACCTTCTTTAGCTTGTTTCTGAAACGACACTTGATCTTTGACCCACTTTCCCCTCTTCATCGCTCTGTCTGTAGTCCCAACACCCTCCACCGGGTGTCAGCATACCTGTGTCTCCTGCCGGAGCTTCCCGAGGGAGAGGAGACGTCCTACGAGAAAGAGTTTCTTCTGGAACTGCTGGTAGGCACATCTTGAAATGTGACACATGCTGTTGTGTTTTTGGCCAGTTTCTAAGGCTGCACTCAGTGGAAGAATGAGGAGAAATGAAGATTCGTTCTGTACTGGCAAGTCAGAAAAAAATAGGTCCGTCTAATAGACCATTTCACAAGATATAAACAACACTGGTCCAGAAGCACTTCCTGTTTCAGTTTTTTAACACTACATAAAAGCTGCGATAAAATACAACCAACTGAACATTTAAAACTGAATCAAAAAGTTAAACAAACAACTTTAAGATGTTTTGTTTACATGTGAAATAAAGAAAATAGTTACAAACTGAAACAGGAAGTGCTTCTGGACCAGTGTTGTTTACATCTTGTGAAATGGTCTATAGAGTACATTTTTGTGCTTGTTTATAGTGTCACACATTTGTGACTGAGAGCATTTGGTGACGCCACCTTCTAGGGCTGCACGATTATGGTCAAAATGATAATCATGATTATTTTCATCAGTAATTGAGATCACAATTAATTATCACGATTATTTCTTGATTATAACCAAAAAAAATTATTGTCACATAGGCTAATTATAACTGCTTTCACATCCATATTGTGCTATTCCCGCTAATGTATGATATGTGCATCTAGGGCTGCAACTAACGATTATTTTGATAATCGATTAATCGGACGATTATTTTTTCGATTAATCGATTAATCGGATAAAAAAATTATATTCCATTTTTTTGTTTATTATAACAAAATAAAACCCTAAAAACCACACTGTTTTGTGTGTTAAACAATCTACTTAATACAGACAACTTCATTATAAAGAAAAACAACAAATAAAAAAAATATATATGACCATAACCTATGACAAAAATGCTATTGTAAACTAGATTAGTGGATAACTCAGAAAAACTTAGCCTAGAAATATCACAAGTGCACAATAATTTTATAAAATCTGAACATTTAGTGAAAAAAACATTCCTTGGTGGGGAACAAATAAGAGACAATAAGTGTAGCACTAACTCTGGTAAAACGTACACATTGCTCTTTGTATTGTTGTTATACATTCATGAAAAACATCGTAAAAATCAGATGCACAACTGTTTTAAATGTAAAGCACAGCTGTTTAGTGAGGAAGCAAAATATAATAGATAGGACAAAACAAGAAAGGCTATTAATAAGCTTTCATTGCGCAAAAGTATTATGACATGATCATGAAAGAGCTGCACAAAGTGCTTATGCGCATCGCGAGCGCTGAATGATGCACTTGAAGCAACACGGAGTCACAGGGCGGCGCGCAGCTCTTCAGTGTCCGCCGCATTAAAGTTAAAAGCACCAAGGAAAGAGAAAGACATATTGACGGTGTATACAGTATCTATGCAATAGTTTATTAAGCCTTTTCTTTTAACAGTTTTAAATTTCAGTTAGGCTACTGTGCACGTGAAGAACAATTATACTGCGCCGACTCTAATAGTGTTGTGATCTAACAGACACTCAGTAGAAAGTGATTAAGTTACAGCAATAAAAGTCTAGCAAGATAGAAAAACCATCATAGACCTTTATCTACGGATCAATTATAATAATAACATTGAATCATCTTGGAAAGAGATCATCATGTTAACTGCTGTAACGCGACGCGCTGTTTGAACACCGAATAGAAAATGATTGACAGCCGCAGTGGAGGGAAAAGCTTAGGTTAACTTTAATTTAATGACTTAAATATACATTTCTATCTCACATTATACTATAATATGGCTTCATAAAGTATACACGTAGGTCACCTATTTTGGTTTCAAAACGGCAAATTTACCGAAAGGTGAATGATTTTCGTGTATGCTGCATATTGATAGCGGTTTCCTGATGCCCGCAAATTAGTTCAAACTCACGGAATCAAGAGCGCGCATGCGAGACAGAAGATAATGTGCTCCAAACCGTCCGTGTTGCGCGCGCGAGACAGGGTAGAGCGGCGAGGGAGAGAGACTGCATGTGCGCCTCATGAAGCGCATGTAAGAAGCGCATGTTCCATGTAAACAATCCCCTTGACGTAATCAGACCAACTAATCGATAATGACATTCGTTGACAACGATTTTCATAATCGATTATAATCGATTTTATCGATTAGTTGTTGCAGCCCTATGTGCATCCACATAAAACGGGTCCTCTTATTCACCAAAACTCAGTGCATTTCCTTAAAGAATAAATACAAATAAATTAAACACTAAAGATAATGTCTACGGCACTATTTTCCATCTTACATTGTGTAAATATATTTTAGGAAGCAAAATATAAAACTTGTTCCTGCCTAATGGATGTGAATAAAACTCAAAATATACAATCAATAACAATTTGTCGACGCCATGTGCACACAAACATACAGTTATGTCTCAGACACCCGGATGGATATTGAAAAGTTGGTAACACTTTACAACGAGGTCTTGTTTGTTAACATTAGTTAACCCTTCGGGGTCGCCGATCACGCCGGCGTGATCAAGTGACATGTACAGTTTAAGACGTCGAAGCATAAAAACAAAGTCACGTTGAGCGCTGTCGTCCCCTTCTGTCGAAAGTGCTGATTTGAAATTTTATTTTACTTTTTGTTTTGTGTTGATAGACCAAGTAAAAACGGAGATATGATCATTTAAACTTTATATAAAAAAATGTACGCGTATATTGACGCGTTCATGAAAGAACGCAAGATGGGATGTGACAGACGTTGCATTTATTCGAATAACTTTGTCGGTTTTTGTCATAAAACAAAACTGAGAAAAATGTGTGAATCTGCTGGCTCTGATCTTCAGGCTGCACATTTCACGGAATGAAGGAGGAGCCAACCGAGGCAAAGACGCGAAAGTGAAAAAGGCAGGAGATTTACGGAGTAGACAAAGAGAGAAATATATGTAATATATATATATAGAGAGAAATTATTGCTAGTTTGAGTAGTTTAGGAGTAGTGTAGATAGTTTAGGAGTAGTTTAGGTAGTTTACGAGTAGTGTAGATAGTTTAGGAGTAGTTTAGGTAGTTTACGAGTAGTGTAGATAGTTTAGGAGTAGTTTAGGTAGTTTACGAGTAGTGTAGATAGTTTAGGAGTAGTTCAGGTAGTTTACGAGTAGTGTAGGTAGTTTACGAGTAGTGTAGGTAGTTTACGAGTAGTTTAGGTAGTTTACGAGTAGTGTAGATAGTTTAGGAGTAGTTTAGGTAGTTTACGAATAGTGTAGATAGTTTAGGAGTAGTTTAGGTAGTTTACGAGTAGTGTAGATAGTTTAGGAGTAGTTCAGGTAGTTTACGAGTAGTGTAGGTAGTTTACGAGTAGTGTAGGTAGTTTAGGAGTAGTTTAGGTAGTTTACGAGTAGTGTAGATAGTTTAGGAGTAGTTTAGGTAGTTTAGGAGTAGTGTAGATAGTTTAGGAGTAGTTTAGGAGTAGTGTAGATAGTTTAGGAGTAGTTTAGGTAGTTTACGAGTAGTTTAGGTAGTTTAGGAGTAGTGTAGATAGTTTAGGAGTAGTGTAGATAGTTTAGGAGTAGTTTAGGTAGTTTACGAGTAGTGTAGATAGTTTAGGAGTAGTGTAGATAGTTTAGGAGTAGTTTAGGTAGTTTAGGAGTAGTGTAGATAGTTTAGGAGTAGTTTAGGAGTAGTGTAGATAGTTTAGGAGTAGTTTAGGTAGTTTACGAGTAGTGTAGATAGTTTAGGAGTAGTTTAGGTAGTTTAGGAGTAGTGTAGATAGTTTAGGAGTAGTTTAGGAGTAGTGTAGATAGTTTAGGAGTAGTTTAGGTAGTTTACGAGTAGTTTAGGTAGTTTAGGAGTAGTGTAGATAGTTTAGGAGTAGTTTAGGTAGTTTACGAGTAGTGTAGATAGTTTAGGAGTAGTTTAGGTAGTTTAGGAGTAGTGTAGATAGTTTAGGAGTAGTTTAGGAGCAGTGTAGATAGTTTAGGAGTAGTGTAGATAGTTTAGGAGTAGTGTAGATAGTTTAGGAGTAGTTTAGGAGTAGTGTAGATCGTTTAGGAGTAGTTTAGGTAGTTTAGGAGTAGTTTAGATAGTTTAGGAGTAGTTTACGAGTAGTGTAGATAGTTTAGGAGTAGTTTAGGTAGTTTAGGAGTAGTGTAGATAGTTTAGGAGTAGTTTAGGAGTAGTGTAGATAGTTTAGGAGTAGTTTAGGTAGTTTACGAGTAGTGTAGATAGTTTAGGAGTAGTTTAGGTAGTTTAGGAGTAGTGTAGATAGTTTAGGAGTAGTTTAGGAGTAGTGTAGATAGTTTAGGAGTAGTTTAGGTAGTTTACGAGTAGTTTAGGTAGTTTAGGAGTAGTGTAGATAGTTTAGGAGTAGTTTAGGTAGTTTAGGAGTAGATTAGATAAACTGTTTTGAGGAGTGGCACAGATAAAAAAACAACAACAACAACAACAACAAATAAACACCTGATATTTGTTGTAAATAGTTGAATGTATGGTTTAAATGTGTTAATTTTACCTTTTGTGTGGTATATTTGTACTATTGAGGAACCCCTCTTACTCAAGGAATGAAAGCCCTGTAATGTAGCTAGCTGTGTAATTGTACATAAAGTGTTTTGTAGTTTCTATGCAAAAAAGAAAAGAAAAAACGCCTATTGCCACACCTGCTTTTTTCTCTATATAGTTTCATTTTATCCCAATTTGACCTTTTTTATGTTGTATTTGCACAATTTGGGAATCCTCATACTCTGGGAACGCAAGGCCTTAAATATAGCTCTCTGTGTATTTGTGTGCACAATTTTTTTTTAAAGTGGCAAAGCTAAAATGAAAAAAAAATAAAAAAGCCCATGGCTACGCTCGCTTTTTTTGTAAATCATATTTTTTTTGTATATAGCTTGATTATATCTGAATTTTACCTGTATATTTTGATATTTACAACTTGTGTTTACATTTTAAACCTTTTAAAATGCTTCATTGAGCGTGTTTGTGTTTTTTTGTAGTAGAAAAGCTATAATATTTCTATTCGGATTTTGTGTTTTTTGTGTGATTTTGGGTCCAGTATGTTGATACAGTACATCAAAGTGATAAACTAATTGTCTGGTCATATAGGTGATGTTGTGCTGAAAAAAATGATACCAAAATTGGTATGGTAAACATTTGTTTACGTTGCAAAATTAAAAAAATAAAAAAGTACTCAAAAAGACTGAAGGGTTAATGCGTTATCTAACTTGATCTAACAATAAGCGATTTATTTTTATAGGCGTGGTTCTCAACTGGTTTGGTCATGGTCATTTTTACTGGTAACATCAGACATTTGGCATCATCAGGACCCACAATGCATCATTATACATTATATTCAACATTATATATATATTATTTTGATGTAGTACTGACACTAAAACTCTGTAAACTTGAATTTTGTCTCGCACTAATTTTCATTTTGGGTGAACTAATATGTGTTTGGGTGCTGCATATTGTCACTATCCACATTCCATATTGTTTTATTTTTGTATTGTGATATATTGATACACCCATACTTTATATGCAATTTCCCCAGTATTTGAGTGTGTATTTATCTTTGAGTTGCAGTATTTATTTGCACATTAGGGTTATAATGACCCTGCGGTCCGTGTTGTTTAGTGAAACACGTGTTGTTTTAGCACGAAATGACTGGAGCCGCTAATTTTGATTCTGATTGTGGATTAGATTGCATTTGTGACGTTCTGTTAGTGTTTGACTGCTTTAATTGTCACTGTTCTAGATGTTTCAGGCCCCTTGGTGGTCCTGCTTCAGCATGTTTTAATTACTCACACCAAATCTCATCAAGAACGGGAGCATTTCCTCTTTAATGTTGTCTCTCGCTGTCAGGCCGGTCATCCGAGTGTTGGCTGAAATCTGCGGCCCGCGATAAAGTCAGAGCAGGGCACAAACCAGATAAAACACTTCATTAAGCTTCAACTGGATAAGCGGCCCAAGCACTCCTGATTAATTCATTTGAGTTTCTCCAAGAGCCGCCCCGACTCAGTTTCTCATCGCGATTGTTTCATGTTTTCTCAGCAGAGTTGTCTCGCAGCGTTTGGGTTTTTAACATAATAGAATGGATTTATAGTGATCAGAAAGTACAGGAAACGTTTAAAAGTGTAGTGTGTTTGAGACTGTGGGATTTGCATTACACAGTTTATGATAAATTACACAAACACACAAGAACAACTTTTTGATTTGTATCCAAAGTCTGCACGCAGGATTGTGTGCTGGGAAACATGGTTACATTAGTGCTAGTGTGTACTTTTTTTTTTTAATTGAATTGAAATTTTCACAATACATATTGTTTCAAAGCTGCTTTACAGAACATACATGAGTCCACATTACAATTTACGGTGGGTTATCTCTGCTCAAATTATGTGCTATTTCAGAAATGTACTTTATTTATTTATATTTGAAGAGTTTGGTTCCAAAACGCGATAAACGCCATTAAAAAAAAAAAAAAAATTAGTTACTGCAAAAATCTGTATTGTATCGGGTCGGTCTTGAAAAGTCAATGTTTAATTTTACATAAAATGTGATATTCGCCGTATTATTATGTAATGTTTTCTCCCTTTCTTTCCAAACCGCGACAAACGCCAGTCTCCTTTCTCTGCAAAATGCGATACATCCGCTCAACCAATCACATCGCACCATTCCACGCAACGTAAACGGTAACGGCAGCGCTTTAACTAACCCGGCTTCCTAGCTTTCTTATCTATTTTGTACTTTTCGATCAACAAACGAACAAAAAAATGAATAATTTTGACAGCATTGGTGAACCTGCGGAGGGTAAGGCATCCTGCATGGGTAAAAACGTGACCTCGAAATTGAATCATTTACGTGAGATTAAGAAGATGAGGCACTCGGGAGGAGGAAATGCCGGCTGTTGCTTGCTCTCACACGACAGCATCAAACTTCTGTCACGCTGACACACTGACCCCAGAGGATCTTTTGAAAAACTTTCAGTTGTTTTATTCAAAGTCAACGAAAACCAAGCAGGACCGAGCCATTTTACAGCTGATCGCCGTCAAAAAAGTTCAGAGGCGACGTCCTAAGGTTGACAACAGCGATAGTAACATTAGATCATGCAGAAGTAACGTTAGATCATGCTTCATAAATCATAATTCATGATGAAGTGCTCATCTTAGTTAATGTTTTAATTAAGGTGTTGTTCATCCATGAAGTCATGAATGAAAAACGTTGAACTGTTAAAAAAAACGTTGTTGGTTCCTGATGATATTAATGTATGAATGAATGCATAATTCATGCATGATTCATTTATCCATGAATTCATGATAATTAATGACATACCCTTACCGTAAAGTGTTACTGAATATTGTTATATTAAAGCAATGGATTCATAGTATGCACAAGAAAACAATTTCAATGTGTATAAAATGTTATTTTGATTAATTGCATTTTGAAAAAAAGAAAATAATGTTTTTTTTTGCATTTTGGGATCTGTTTTTATAATAAATCTTTAAAAAATCAAAACCTGGATTTAATTTTTATTGATATTATAACCTACAAATGCTGGAAAATTGAGTTTTTCATCTTGCCATTTTCTTTCTAAAGAAAACACAGTTTAACTCAAATTCATCAAAATGGATTTACAGCGTTTTGTAACCAAACACTTAATTTATACATATATAGCACTTTTTACAATACAGATTGTTTTAAAATCAGCTTTACAGAGATAACAGGAAAATAATGCAATAAAGTTTATTTATTATTATATATAGAGCCGCTCAGGAGAAAACAGTGATGTCGCCGTTCAGTTCAGTTCTCATATAATGGTGTCAGTGCAGGCCAATCAGTAATTGTTCAATATTAAATTAAACATTTAATTTATGGCCCTATGATTTCCGTGATCACAGAATCGCGGACGGTATTGTCCAATTAATATTAATAATATAATAATACGTGTCTCTCGCACACACAATGTCCACACCGCGTCTATCTATGAGGCGCCGACTGGACAAAAGCGAAGCGGACTTCGTGAGTGACACTGGGTGAGAGAGAGACAGAGTGTGACTTTATTTAAACTTATATAAACTAATTTTTTATAATTTATATTACTGGACAGTTTAAAGCTCACAACCATGTTTTGTTACTTGAAGAGTGCAGTGTTATGTTGCATCATGCAGTATTTGTCCTGAAAAGGCTACTGAAATAAATGTCTGTTACCTCAATACATTTAAGGTCATTCCTAATTTATTTGTATTTTTTAATACATTTTAATCATTAACTTTAAAAGCACACTCTTTTTACGACTAAAATTACAGTCAAGGGTAAAAAAAAACAAACTAATTCCCAAAAATTTAAATGGAATAAACGGAATTTGGGAAAAAATAAAACGGATTTCATTGGGCCCTAATTTAATTGAATACATTTACAAATCTCACAGTTAGCTAATAATGTATTCATTTAAAACAATGTTTTAATTTAATGTAGAAACAACGAGCTCATTTAATGTATGGCTCTTCAAGTGTTCGTGGGATGCGATCGGCCCACTGCGCTGTGATGCACGTGTAGCCTACGTTTGGCCGTCTGATGCGTTTGAAGGGTAAACGGTGATAGCAGAGCGTGGTTCGTCCAGCCGGCAGATGATGTGGTTCATGGAGGAGCTAACCGTTCTCACTTCTGTTCAGGTGTCCCACCACGAGAGGCGGATCTCCCAGATCGAACAGCTCAACCAGATGCCTCTGTATCCCACCGAGAAGATCATCTGGGACGAGAACATCGTTCCCACCGAGTACTATTCAGGAGAAGGTGGGCCGCTTTGATTATGAGTTCACTGCGTATCACTATACCAATTATACCACACACAGTCAAACCAAAATGTATTCAGACACGTCAACATTTCTCACATTATCACGGTTTATTCGCTATAGTTTAGAAAATGCTAATACAATACGAGCAGAACTTGATAGTTGATATTTGGCTGGTTTTGTCCGTCCTTCTGTTAGACTCTCACACATGAATTATGTTGAATATCTGTCAGCTGTTAAATTTTATACACAATTAGATAATTAAATTAATTTTTGATATGTTTTAGCTGACCTCAAGGGCATCCAAGATGTATATTAGGTGTCTTTGTTTCCACAGTATTTTCAATTTTTATATTTTTCGGTCAAACCGTTGTTGTCCATCAGTCATATAATGGAGGTCTATGGTCACCACCTCAAAGAGCATGCACAGAGACATCCAAATTAAACATGATTTAATGACTCGTAAATGTAAGTACACATTGATGGCCTAAGACACGAAACGAGCGGTTTGTGTGAGAAAACGAACAGTTTTTATATCGTTTTTACCTCTTGTAGATAAATCCACAGCCTCAAAGCACCCGCGCCCTCAGATGACTTGGACATGGTTGTGGTTACAAGAGGTAAAAACGTTATTAATACTGTTCGCTTTCTCACACAAACCGCTCGTTTCATGTCTTAGGCCATCAATGTGTACTTACATTTACGAGTCATTCAATCATGTTTAATTTGGACTTCTCTGTGCATGCTCTTTGAGGTGGTGACCATAGACCTCCATTATATGACTGATAGACATGAACGGTTTGACCTAAAAATATCAAAATTGAAAATACTGTGGAAACAAAGACACCTACATCTTGGATGCCCTTGAGGTAAGATAAAACATACCACAAATTAATTTCAAAGTGAACTATCCCTTTAATGGAATTAAAGTAACACAAAATGTATTTACTCTTATTAAATTAGTCACCATTTATTTAAAACACAAAATAAACCAAAAACTACTATAACAGTCGCCATATGACTATATAAATAATCTTTTTTAAATACAACATTCACATATTTATTTAAGTCGTTATTCCCTGATAATCTTCCCCTCCACCAAAGCTCTCAAAATGTTGGAATATTTGCTAATAATGACATTATTAATTAACTCCATTGGTGCCACTTTTTGCCAATTATAAAAAGCTGCAAATAAATCCCCCTTTTCTGTGTGTTTGGAGTGATGCGTACTAGGGATGCACCGATACCACTTTTTTGGAAAATGAGTACGAGTACGAGTACTTGCATTTCAGTACTCGCCGATACCGAGTACTTAATAAAAAAAAAAAAAACATGATTTAAATATTTTTATATACGGGTTTTTAGGTCCTTGATTAAATTACTTGGGTAACACTTTATTTCGATAGTCCACTTTACTAACTATAGGTAACCTTTCAATTACATGTCAACTAACTGTCATTAGAGTATTAGTAGACTAGAGTATTAGTACGATCAGCTTAATATCTGATAACACTTTATTTATTTGGTCCCCCAACAGACATTCAACTGACTATAAGTAACTTGGCGACTACAAGTAAACTTATTCTCCTAATCCAAAGCCATTCACTTTGAAATTGTTCCACACCAGTGATGCACGGGTTGATCCAAAATGAGCGCGTGCCTGCGCCGCGGTCACCCGCGGTTACCCGCAGTTACGGGTCATCCAAAAATATTTTTAATGATATTCGGGTCGCGGTCGTTCAGGTCTTTTGGAAAAAAATGGCAATTAAACCTTTGTATTTATATAGTACTAGATACAATTTTCTATGAAATATATAGGCCGAATTTATTTATTGGCTGAATAACTGGCACGAAGATGACACACAAGCTCAGTCTAAACAGTTCTCAGTTCTGTACTGGTGTGATCGCGGATGCGCAGTATCAGCTGCTCGTGCTCATCACTTCTCTCAGCTGTGGCAACAACATGTCTCAGTTCAGTGAACTGTTAGAGTTACTGGAGTAAGATATAATTCGGGATATTGGTTTATTTCAACTCGGAGGGACTGTCAGGCATGTCTGAAAGTGAGTAACTGTAGTAACTTGTGGATCAGCACTGACGCAAGACGTGAACTGATGCGAATGATTCAGTTCGATTTAGCGTACTGGTTCGACCGGTTCATTAAAAAGAACCGATTCGTTCACGAACCGGCCATGTCTATGATCACTAGTCTGCAGAGAGATGGAGGCGGCAAGAGAAAAGGTGAAGACTGGGGAGTGGAAGCTCCGCAAATACACAAATAGAAAGAGTAAGTGTGGGAGACATTTACCGAAATAATGAAAGATGATGACCAAAGTGCTGCCTTTGTTATATGTAGGCTACGTCTTCTTGCGATGCTGTGTTGTTATTATGGCCCAATGACGCTACGATGAGCATGTACTATTTTTAAAAAATACGGTCAGGAAGAGGGTCGGGTACAATATTTTCTTACTTTTTTTGCGGTCCGAGTAGCGGGCGGGTAGTTGAAAACGTTGGTAGTGTGCGGGTTGTTTATACATTGACCCGCGCATCACTGTTCCACACGGCTGACATGTCTCCCCATCTCCCCGCTCTGAGCTGCAGCCGGAGCCTGGGGGTGGGCACTCGGCGCCTGTGATTAACCCATTTCTCAGAACATGGTATCATTCCCCGGTATCGGGGGACTTTTAACGAGTACGAGTACTTTAGAAAATGTGGTATCGAGGCCGATACCAGATACCGGTATCGGTGCATCCTTAATGCGTACGTAGTGACAGAATTTAAATCTTTGATTGAACTTTTCCTGTAGCAAATCTGTTTTGAAACTGCAACCGAGAATATTTATCTGTGGTTTGAAGACGTTTTGGACTGAAACGATTGACTAACACGGTTTACATGTTTGTTTAATTAGTTAATTAGCAAGTTAATTATTTAATTAAAAAGTTAAAGCTGCCTTGTGTGCAATTTTTTTGCCTTGAGTGTTTTTATGAATTGGTTATTACTAGGGCTGTGCAAAAGTTAATTGCGATTAATCGCATCCAAAATAAAAGTCTGTGTTTACATAGTATATTTGTGTGTGCAGTATATAATTATTTTGTATATATAAATAGACACACATGCATGTATACGTTTAAGAAAATGTGTTATTCCTATATAAAATATTTATATTTATATAATATAGATTATGTATTTATATATACAGAATTCAAGCGCAAATAATTCCTAAATATGTACATGCATGCATAGGTATTTATATATACAAAATAATTATATACAGCACACACAAATATATTATGTAAAACAGACTTTTATTTTGGATGCGATTAATCGCAATTAACTTTTGCACAGCCCTAGTTATTACGTAATTTTTCAGTGAAAAAAGTCGAACCTGAACATCAGTACAGCGTCTGACTGCTTGTGTTGTTGTGAATCTGAAGGTTGTTTAGCTCTGCCGAAGCTGAACCTGCAGTTTCTGACCCTTCACGACTACCTTTTGAGGAACTTCAACCTCTTCCGACTGGAGTCAACCTATGAAATCCGCCAGGATATCGAGGACGTTGTGCTACGGATGAAGCCATGGTTTGTGAAGCATTTAAAAAAAACTAAATTTGATTTGTGTAGCCAAATGGACTTTTGAAGGCACTTTCCTATAGTTTATGCTAGGGATGTGCTCATCGACTAATTTGTAGAGCCTTCTAAAGCCTACTATTTAGCTATTCTAATCTAAATCTATTACAGAACGACAGTCTGCAACGCACACTTGGCGTCGTTGGATTTCACACACGGGTAAAAGAAAAGCTAACTTTTATGCGCAAGATGCAATGCAGGGACTGTAACTAGAGATACGCTAGTTATAAATACAGTAATCATTACTTTATTAAGGCAGAAAAAGTTTGTTGTGGTTTTCAAGCTCATTAATGTTAACGTTAGCAGTCTTCCACTGATGATAGTGGCATTAGCTACAGTAGCTTTATGGTTAGCTAGTCTGTAATGAGCCATAGTTTAGCAATAGATAACGTCACACTGCAAATTGTAAAACATACATTTTCAATATAACAGGCCAAGGAGAGATGATACGTCTCATTGCTATAACTGTTACGCACTATTAAAGAAATACTTCAGTCACATTGTCAAAAGTTAAAAGGACAGTCAGTCAACTACACTGTAACAACGTAACGTAACTATTACTAGCTAATTCCGCTTCACTCTCGGCTTATTTAACGGCAGCAAAACTGGACATGATAGTCACAAATTTTGTCATGCTTATTTGAGTTAAGAGGACTGATGGGGATGTTCTTTTAATTGTTATTCAAGCAATGTATGTATCGTGACCAACTCAACATGAACACACTTCACCGATGATCTCACTCGCGGATAACTGGTTCTCTCCGCCCGACTCTGGCTGGATCAGCAGTTTGCAGGATGTGTGTCGCGTTATACACGAGTGTGTAGAGTGCCCTCTGGTGGACAAACTATACAACCCCAACACTCATGACATGGTTGAAACGTGTTTCGTCCGTTTTTATTTTATTTTTGAAATATTCATTCATCGGCCATTATAAATGCCGATACCGATATTTTAGAAAATGCATAATATCGGCCTGCCGATAAATCGGTCTGGCTCTACTAATTTGACAGTCGTTTAAATGGAAGTTTTGTAACTGACTAGTCTATAAGTAAGATTATTTTTATATAATTTATATGTTTTCTGGGTACTCAAAGCGCTTTACACCTGGATGATGCGACGGCAGCCATATTGCGCCAGATCGCCCAACACACACCAGCTTAAGCCTAGTTCACACTACGTGATTTTAAGCCCGATTTAAGCCCGATTTGCAAATCGTTGAGTCGCCGACAAGTCAGGGTGTTATCGCGTGCAAATCGCGGGCGATTAGCGGATGATTAACGCTCGCCAATCCGTTAGTGTGAAAGAGCCAACAACGCATCAAAGACAGCTCGCAGACGCCTCGCAGACAGGTCACCGAGCTCAGAAAAATATCTAGATATCTCGAGCAGTCGCGCGACTCAATCTCAGTGATGTCATGAGTACAGCCAATCATAGCAACGCATGGGTTGAGGACACCAGGTAAATCTTACTTTTTCTTTTCTTTTTTGCATTTTTTTTTCTCAGAGCAGATCGTCGAGCAAACAGTGTGCAGCACTAGTTTCTGTCTGACGTCCATATTGGCGTGTTGTGTTCTTCTCTGCAGTTTCGCGTCATTTCTGGTTCGTTTTATTGCGTGGTTTTTCGTGACAAAACATGGTTTCTAGACCAGATAGAATCGTGTTGTTGTCAACTCGTTATTTGTTTGATTATTTTCAGGATTTAGACCGTACTATAGTACTGAAACAGCTCTCATTGAGTCACAAATGATATGCTCTTATCATCCGATCGTGGTTGTATCTCTATGTAGTGCGTTGTTAACTCGTGTAGTGAGTTACCTCCTGTTGTGGATCAATCACGTTGTGTTGTGTGGTGAAAACAGTTAACAACTTGAACACTCATGATTTCACTGAGAGCAAGTCATGTAGTGTGAACTGCACAGTTCAGCCCGACATTTTAAAATCATGTAGTGTGAACTAGGCTTTACGGGTGGAGAGGAGACAGTGAACATGCTGATTTGTGTTGTGCTAACGTTGAGGGCTCTGTCACCAGGCAGTCGGAGTATGGAGGAGTGGTGTTTGGAGGATGGGCTCGAATGGCTCAGACCATACTGTCGTTCTCTATCGTGGAGGTGGCCAAGCCCAACATCGGGGAGAACTGGCCTGCCCGAGTCCGTGCTGACGTCACCCTCAACCTCAACATCCGAGATCACATCAAGAACGAATGGGAGGGTAAACCGCTCTTTCTGTCTCTGCAAACACTGGCGACACACATTTAAAACAAGGCAAGGCAAGGCAAGTTTATTTATATAGCACATTTCATACACGATGGCAATTCAAAGTGCTTTACATAGAAGAAATTAAAATAATCAAAATAATTAAAACAGTTTAGAATAAAAAAAAAATTAGAAATAATGAAAAATAAAAAACACACTCGAGAGCAAAGCCTGAGCCGAACCGAAGTAATATCTAGGCAAGGCAACATCTTTGTTTAGATTAAGTTGAAGTGCTAAAACTAAATGGTAACACTTTATAATGAAGTTCATTAGTTAACTAACAATGAGCAATACATTTGTTACAGTGTTGCTTAATCTTTGTTGATGTTAGTTAATAAAATACAGCTGGTCATTGTTTGTTCATGTTAGTTCACAGTGCATTTACTAATGTTAACAAGTACAACTTTTAATAACGTGTTAGTAAAAGTTGAAATACAAGGATTAATAAATGCTTTAGAAGTATTGTTCATTGTTAGGTCATGTCAACTAAAATGAACTTATGTTCGTCGTTCCAGGTCTTCGGAAACACGACGTGTGCTTCCTGATCACGGTGCGGCCCAACCTGCCGTACGGCACACGCTTCGATCGCCGGCAGCCGTTCGTGGATCAGGCCGGGCTGGTGTACGTGAGGGGCTGTGAGGTGCAGGGCATGCTGGACGATAAGGGCCGCGTCATCGAGGAGGGTAAGGCTGTTTACTGGCTTCACTGAACCTCATGAGCTGTTTCTGTCGGCCGTTTAGCCAGCATGCAGACTCTCATGAGTTTCCTGAGCAAAACTCATAACTGGGTTTGATGGAAACTTTTGAAAAGTGCTTGTATTTTCAATAAAGTGCTTGCAATATAATTGGCTCTAATCCTTCCGACTCGATCCAGAACGGGATTAAAGGGATAGTTCACTTTGAAATTAATTTTTGGTATGTTTTATCTTACCTCAAGGGCATCCAAGATGTAGGTGTCTTTGTTTCCACATGTTTAGGTCAAACCGTTGTTGTCTATCAGTCATATAAGGGAGGTCTATGGTCACCACCTCAAAGAGCATGCACAGAGAAGTCCAAATTAAACATGATTTAATGACTCGTAAATGTAAGTACACATTGATGGCCTAAGACACGAAACGAGCGGTTTGTGTGAGAAAACCAACAGTATTTATATCGTTTTACCTCTTGTATCCACAGCCACAAAGCGCCCGCGCCCTCAGATCACTTGGACGTGGCTGTGGTTACAAGAGGTAAAAACGCTATAAATACTGTTGGTTTTCTCACACAAACCGCTCGTTTCGTGTCTTAGGCCATCAATGTGTACTTACATTAACGAGTCATTAAATCATGTTTAATCTGGACTTAGTGGTCAGTGGTATGACGCAATTTTTAGCCTATTTTTACAAAAACGGCTTCTACGTGGCCATAACGTAATCGCTAGTTTATACCACTAACAAGGCTCAGAATAGCCCCACACTAACACAGAAACATAATGAGGGTCCCTACATGCAAAACGAAGCATTGAGAACTTTGTAAGTGTACAGACCGTTTAATAAGAAGATACGTTATAAAGACAGTTCGCTTCGTGTATACAGGCAGGAACCATCTTAAAAAATAGTCTCGACTAGACAAACCACGAACGTCGTGCTGAGTGATCAGAACTATATGAAGTTTAGCGAACTTCTGAACTGTATGAACAGCGCTCGGGGATCGACTTATCGAGACTATTTTCTAAGATGGCTCCTGTCTGTATACACGAAGTGGACTGTCTTTATAAAGTATCTTCTTATTAAACGGTATGTACACTTATGCTTCGTTTGGCATGTATGGACCCTCATTATGTTACTGTGTTAGTGTGGGGCTATTTTAAGCTTGTTAGTGGTATAAACTAGCGATTTCCTTTTACTTAGTCAATGCCCCCATTACTAGCAACAGTTTTTAGAGATAAAACTCTTTACATTCGATTATCATGAAAACAAATCTCAGAGAACGATTGACTAGGTACCGATGTTTTATTAGACCAAAGGTTCATTGTTCGCCGGAGTTAAGTGCCCTATTCATCGATGTCTTACTCTGGAGGCAGTTATATGCTAATGTATGATCCCCGCGGTCTGTTTTTGAAGCTAGTTTAAATAAATGCTTTGTTTATAATGAGAGAAGGATATTTTAAGCTCTAAAACTAGGAGAGTGATAGATCCCCACGGCCCATGAACACGGCTCTGACCCGATAAGATGAGCGATAAATCCATTAACTGGCCCGAATCTCTGTCGCATCGACCCCTGGCCGTCCTCATTGCTGGTCTGGAATCATTGGTCATTTCTGTTCAAGCGATTTCAGGGTCAATTTACTTGACAAATGATCCTCAATTTAGACGGATAAGTGAATATTTATTTCCTTCGTTGCATTTATTCATTTAGCAGAGGCTTTTATCCAAAGCAACATTCGATTACATTGTGACTCTGATTTATGGTTTTATTATACTCAGATTATTTTAAAAAGCTTTTTATTGTTACTAGATTAAATGGGCTGTTCACTTGACTTTCAGGAAGTACTGTATGTTTTTGTATTGATTATTGTGTTCCTCCACCAGGTCCTGATCCGAAGCCCAAACTAAGAGGAGACACCAGGACGTTTCGGGTTTGGCTCGACGCAAACCAGTATCAGCAGGACATGACCAACAGCATCCAGAACGGGGCAGAAGACCCCTATGAGACCTTCAATATTATCATGAGGCGCAAACCCAAAGAGAACAACTTCAAGGTCAGGCGATTCCTCCTGTATGTTCTGACGCAACCAGACGTTTACCAGTGTTATCCTTAACTAAAGCTAAAAGTAAAAACAACGGTTTGGTTAATTAAAGCAATATTAACTGAAATAAAATAAATTCTTAGTGTTATTTTTTTTTTATTTAACGTTTATTTATTTCAATTAACAAAAATGTGTTTATATATATTTTTTGTTTAGTTAGTTGCCAAAGCAATATTTCTATAGTTCAAACGGTTAGTTCATCCAAAAATTTAGTGTCATAATTTTCTCATCGTCTTGTATTTCCAAACCTGTGAGACTTTCGTTCATCTTTCGTTCATTTTTAATGAAATCAGTGATTTCTGTCCGTCCATTGAAAGTCGATTGACCCAAAAATCTGGCACTTCAAAACGTTGATAAAGAAGTCGTAAAATAAATCCTAATGAAGCAACTCTTCATAATCATCATACATTAATTTAGGCTTTTATTCACATTATAAGCATTATTCTGCGAACATAAACTGAAGCTCAATCATACTTGCTTGATGCGAAAATACACAAATCTCATTGGTTCTTGTATTACGCAGCACGTTTGAGCTTCTGCGTGAACCTCATTGGTTCTCATGTGTCAAGCAAGCTTCAGTTTCTGTGATCCACTTTGAATGCTTAACTTTGTTTGAGGCTGATCATCAGTGTTTATACATCAATAAAAGCCTAAATTTAATCTCTCAGATTTCATTTAAAATATCAACTTTTTTTAACAATCTAATAAAATGTACTTAAACTTTAACCAATATTGAAATGGAAAATATAAAACAAGAACCACCCAATCAGACAGGAATTGTATATTCCCCTTTAAACATCATCTAAAACAGTGGTTCACTCATCCACAGTTATGGAAAAATAATTCCTTGTTGCTTGCAGGCTGTGCTTGAGACCATTCGCAACCTCATGAACACAGAGTGTGTGGTTCCCGACTGGCTTCACGACATCATTCTGGGTTATGGAGACCCTGGTAGTGCCCATTACTCCAAGATGCCCAATCAGATCTCGTCCCTGGACTTCAACGACACCTTCCTGTCCATCGAGCACCTGAAGTCCTGTTTCCCCAATCACAAGGTGAAGGTGTCGGAGGACGATCCCGCTCGACAGGTCCCGCCTTTCAGGTCAGAAATCACCATTACTGGATAAAATATATTATTCAGACACCAGATATCATTTATTATTTTTTACTAGTGTGTGCAGGACACTATAGTTCATTTATCTAAGTGAGGAGAGCAAAATAAAGTAAACTGTGAGATATTACACCCAAATATTCTTCATACAGTGACTACCAGTAACATTCATAAACACTTGGGACCAAAAATGCAGACACTTTGAGCTAATCGTGTGTTTTTCCTGTAATTGCTATTGCTCTTTCTACACACACACTGAACAACATGAAGCATTGCTTGGTCACTGGTTGAGCTAAACTGCTATTATATAATAGTGTAGTTAAATTCAACAGATATTCAACATAATTCATGTGTGAGAGTCTAAACAGAAGGACGGACAAAACCAGCCAAATATCAACTATCAAGTTCTGCTCATATTTTATTTGCATTTTCTAAACTATAGCGAATAAACCGTGATAATGTGAGAAAGGTTGACGGTGTCTGAATACATTTTGGTTTAACTGTATTTATGTGTGTGTGTGTGTATATATATATATTAGGGCTGGGTAATAAATATCGATTTCTCGATATTAATCGATTCTCATTTTTACGAACCGATATCGATTCTTAAATCTCAAGAACCGATTAGTCATCCTGTTTCATTTGAATGAATGGGATCATTGTATCGCGGCTGCGCACATCCAAAACATCGCAATAATCTTTGTTCTTTGTTACTATTGATATGAAACAAAGTCTCAATTTTCTAATTACGTCCATTTTCTTTCGAAATTCAAAAACATAAATAGCGTTTTGGCGCTGTGGCGTGAGATCGCTCTGGAGAAGCTGAAAGTGTGTTAAAAGATAGAGTACAACTTATCGAAATCCGTATCATGTCACATTTATTAACTCAATCAGCGTTTCAACCTTGGAAAGACGTCAGTTAAGCAGCTTGTAATCAATCGTCATATTTACCTCAGAAAACCCACATAAACTCGTTAGTCAGCTAGAAAAAATAACTCCAGAGAGGAGCATTTTGCTAAATATATACACCATATTACATATGCATTATAATCTTAATGTTCTTCAATATTTAATGCATATTTGAACAAATCTGGCAAGTTTTTATGACAGCCACCATTTAAATGTTTATATTTCATATAATCTTCTTATTATAAAATAAATAAAAGTGTAATTTAAGTGTTTGTATAGCTACAAAACAGTTCATTATTACCTTCATATTAGGCTAATGAAGTCTATAGGCTACAACTAGACTCCCATAGTTTACAGCATTAGTTAAGAGATTTGATTTCCTTGAGAAAATTTGCCATTTATTGTAACTGATATCCAAAATAATCAATATCAAATCGAATCGGAATCGAATTGCAAGCTTGTGAATTGAAATCGAATTGGGAAATTTGTGTCAATACCCAGCCCTATATATAAATCCACATACAATTAACAATTATTTTAAATTGTAATAACATTTCTCAATATCACTTTTGAACGGTAGTGCATGTGGACTATTTGTGCAAGGTTTATAGAAATTGTGACTCTCTTCTCTACCAGAATTCGATTCCCTGTGCAGAACGTGAAGGCTAAGAAGCGTAAAGCAAATGAGGAAGAGACGCAGGGCGAGGAAGATCAGACGCTGGTGGTGGAGCCTCACGTGATTCCCAACAGAGGCCCGTATCCCTACAACCAGCCCAAGCGGTGCGTGGAGGACTCTATCGTGACCCAGAGTGCATGTCTGTATAAACATAACGCTGTTAAAGAGTGACATGTTTGTCCACTTCTACAGAAACACCATCCAGTTTACACCCACCCAGATCGAAGCCATTCGTGCAGGGATGCAGCCAGGCCTTACTATGGTAAAACGAAAATCACTTACTACACCTTTTATTTTTTTTCTTCCTGTTGTTTTAGTGTACCTCCTTATGAAAAAATTTGGCGATAATTAAGGTTTGTAATAGTGTTGTCATGATACTGGAATTTTTTAACTTCGATACGATACCTTGGAAAATATCGATATTCCATCCCATGTATAATATGCAATATACGGACTAATTTCAAACTACAGTAAAAACAAGAGAAACATTTTGGTATATTTTTTTTTTTTAGGGTTTCACAAAAATGAGTTCATCATCATTAAACATCTAAAGGTATCTTTATTTGTGTGTTTTCAGAGAGAAGTACTTTTCCTTTGTTGTTGAACAAATATGAAATATATATATATATTTGGGCTGTCAGTTACTTTTTGTCCTAGCAAACCTAGCATCCTTCTATGAAACCTATTCATTTCAATGGCTAGTGTCGCGCTAGGACGTTTCGGTGCTTCGTCGACCAAAGCACAAGCGGATCTGACTAGACCGGAAACAAAACAACAGTCCCACACTTGTTTGGGCTTGCGAGCCGGCCAAATAGTAGATTAACGTTGTGTTTTGAGTCGATGGCGAGCGCGAGACGCCGAAATGGATGCAAATAAGATTCTGAATGGAAAGTTTACTTGTAAAAAGTTGCCAAATGGTTTCATTGACAAGACCAAAGTGATCTGTGTGTTTTGTCGTTGTGAACTGAGCGATCATCATCACAGCACGTCCGAAACACCACTTGATGATGGCCAAGCACACACACACAAAGCTGATGCGAATTCTCCGCCCCCTCGTCAATATTCGACCTCGTCAGTTTTTCTTTCACCCTTTTATCGATGGACAGTGTTACATTGTGTGAGAGATTATTTGCTCCAAGTGAGAATGTTAGTGTGAAATTGAACAACGTATATGCCAACGTTGTTTTCAATAAAAAACATTTGCACAAAGCAAGCCGATCCACTTTTCCATGTTGAAAAGAGCAATAAAGGATTAGTTCACTTTTGAAATAACTTTTGCTGATAATTTACTCACCCCCATGTCATCCAAGATGTCCATGTCTTTCTTTCTTCAGTCGAAAAGAAATTAAGGTTTTTGATGAAAACATTCCAGCATTTTCTCCATATAATGGACCTTCATGGGAACCAGGTCCAACCGAGGTCCAAACGACAGTTAATAACAGTTTCAGATGCAGCTTCAAATGTCTTTAAACGACACCAGACGTTGAATAAGGGTCTTATCATGCGAAACGATCGGTTGTTTCAAAACTTATTCCAAAAATGTAACTTTTCTAAGGACAAATGCTAGCCTTTCTCCATTCTGTGAGGCGCGTTTGTAACGTCACGTAATACGTAATTACGTTCAAAAGGTCACGGGCGACGTAGCCAGAAGTACAGAGTCAGTGTTTACAAGTTGAACGCATAGGCTGAACGTGAAAACTAACTCAAACGGCGTTTACAAAAAAGGAATTAAAAGGTAAAACAACGATGTCGGACGATTTTGATTCTGTACTTCCGGCTACGTCCCCCGTAATTACGTATTACGTGACGTTACAAACGCGCCTCACAGAATGGAGAAAGGCTAGCATTTGTCCTTAGAAAAGTTACATTTTTGGAATAAGCTTTGAAATAACCGATCGTTTCGCATGATAAGACCCTTATTCATCGTCTGGTGTCGTTTAAAGACATTTGAAGCTGCATCTGTAACTGTTATTAACTGTCGTTTGGACCTCAGTTGGACCTGGTTCCCATTGAAGTCCATTATAAGGAGAAAAATCCTGAAATGTTTTCATCAAAAACCTTAATTTCTTTTCGACTGAGGAAAGAAAGACATGGACATCTTGGATGACGTGGGGGTGAGTAAATTATCAGCAAAAGTTTTTTCAAAAGTGAACTAATCCTTTAAAATTAGAAAAAATAATGGGACAAAAAGGAATCAAGAGACATTTAGAATAGATAAAAAATGTGTGATTAATTGTGATTAATCGCCAGTTAACTATTACATTAATGCGATTAATCACGATTAAATATTTTAATCATTTGACAGCACTGATATATATATATATATATATATATATATATATATATTCACATAGAAAACGGCTATTTTAAATTGTAATAATATTTCACAAAATTACTGTTTTTACAGTATTTTTAATCTAATAAATGCAGACTTGATGAGCAGAAAAGACTTCTTTCAAAAACATTAGAAAAATATGAATAATTCCAAACTTTTGACCTGGGCCGGGTTTCCCGATAACGATGTATCTTAGCTCTTAAGAGCGCCCTCTACGTGCAAGGTTACGAACGCTCGCAGCAATTCCACGTGCATTTCCCAAAAATGCACTTAACATGAACGCGTGAGAACGCGTTCTAAGCGTCGCTATCCATTCGCGAAGTGCTGAAATATAACCTTATATGGAGTCGTATTCTGAACGTTTAACCTAATAATCGTCATTTGTTGTGGATTAGAAGTCTATATGGATATAAAACACCTATACAGGCTGACAAAATGGCTGAACAAAAACAAAAAAACAAGAGAAGATACCTTTCAAAAAGATAAAATTAATGTCCTTCCAGAGGAGTTCATTTTATTTTTAACAGATTTAAAGGACACCATACAAACCAGTCTCTCCCTACTCGTATATCCATCAGCTGCTTTTGAATCTAAATGTTTAAATGTCTGTCAGTCTCTCCCTGTGTGTTTATGCAAATGTGGTCGGGCTTTGAGTCTGGCACCTCCACATGTGCTGAAGAACTGTCAGCGTCTCTTTTTTAAATGTTCTTTCCCTCGGCTGTAGGTCGTTGGTCCTCCCGGCACGGGAAAAACAGACGTGGCTGTTCAGATCATCTCCAACCTGTACCACAACTTCCCCGAGCAGAGAACGCTCATCGTCACACACTCCAATCAGGTGCGCCGCCGACACCGTTACTGAGGGGGTTCGTCACGCAGTGTTCACTGAAGTCAACGCTTAGCATTCAACTACTATTTGGGTTTACTCGCTCTCAACATCTACCAGAAATTGTAGTTACATCCGAGTTAAAACTATTCAAAATATATATTTATGTGCAAGAATAAAACTCCGACTTTTTATCACTCTTAAAACTAGACTTGATCAAGTGTTGATGACCGTTTTGACTCATGGTTTTTTTACTTAAAGGTGAAGACCCAACTTATGCATGTTTATAAGATTCCCTTATTATTTTCATATTTTGAAGTTATTTAATAAGATAATGTCTGAAAGGGTTTTGGATTTTTTTTTATCATATGTTTATTTAAAATAATATGACTTGGTGTTTTTGTATTTAAATGATATTTGTATTTTTGTAATTTATTTTTTGCCATAAAAAATAGCTTTGACTGCTGACACGGCATTTAATAAAAGAATCTGAATCTGACATTAATATATATTTTCCATTGTTTATGTGTTTATTTTCTGGATATGTGTGTGTTTATCGTTCAGGCTCTGAACCAGCTGTTTGAGAAGATTATGGCGTTAGACATCGATGAACGTCACCTTCTGCGTATGGGCCATGGAGAAGAAGAACTAGAGACTGAGAAAGATTTCAGCAGGTACACACACACACACACGTGTTCAGTTCTGATTTACTTATCATGAGGAAGCCGATTTCCCTGATGTTTTGATCCATTTACTATAAAGTCAAAGGCCCTTTCTAATCTAAAAAGAGCTTTTAATTGCTATAATCCTCTATTGACATCAGATAACACTCACATTTGACCCATGACCTGCTAGGTTTCTGAGGTAATAAGGAAAAAGCAGGATATTTATTCTTAAGTAACGATCGATTAAAAGTATGTGAAAATATATGCTTTGAAGAAGTTTATTTTCAGCTAGAGTTTTCCTCATGCTTTGGTGAACCAGTGAGCTCTGACAAAAGCAAGAAAGTGTCTGTGCAATACTGTATGTGACATCTGTGTCACAACTTCCACCTCATTTCATCATGCGTTTAAAACGGAGGATTTTACTCCACAAACACACTGCATGACTCTTGGAGTTAGATTCACAAATGAATATCTCCAGTGAATCAGTCAAAAAGAAGATTTTTCAATAAAACCAGAGGAAAAATTGGATACTAGGGGTGTTATATATCAAGACTTCGTAATATGTATCGTTGATGTCAACTATTTGATTCGCGGTATAGAGTTAGTTAAGACTCCGCTTACTGTATTTATAAGGTGTATTTCTTCCAAATGTATTCACCCTCATGTCGTTTCGTTCAACTTCCAAACTTGGGCTGTCAATCTTTCTCTATAATACTATTCGAATTTAAATCCTTATTTTATGTAATATTCGAATATTAAATGCTCAAATTAATCCTATTATTAATATTTACAACATTACACATTCTTATCGATCGTCAATGCCACTGTAGCCTGTGGTTGTTGTTACACGTTCTGTCCACTAGAGGGACATCTAACTTTACTACATTAAACATTTAGGGGCGGTTTACACCTGGCCACTTCATGCGTTTTCTCAAAACGATTCCATTTACACCTGCTCACATAAACGTGTTTTTGCGAAACGGATATAAATCCGATCTTCAATTCCCGCGCTATATGCGGATTTAATGAAGTGCACGTCACCGAAAGCAACAGATTTGAGCTGCATTTTATTGATCATCGGCTAATTTCAAAATCAGCAAAGACAGCAATAAGGGAGAGCGGCAACAGCCCTCTTAATATCATTTCATTCCTTTACTTTTAATGAAGATGGTAGTGTTAAGCGCCTGCGACTTACTTTCACTTTAATTTGCGATAGATTGCGGCGCGTTGGCTTGATGAATAGGGGCTCAGTACTGAGGTGATTTGATAATCATATCGCGTCGGAAGTTCCGGGAGTCTCCCGCATATTGATAGCGTCTCCCTGATGGCCGCAAATTAGTTAAAATCTCCGGGAATACGCGCATAACATACACAGCGCGCGGCGCGATGGCAGAGGGAGTGAACGAGACCTAGTCCCGCGCTCTCCTATTGTTTATAAGAAAGCGATAAGGGGCCGTTTACACCTGGTCACTTCGGAAGTATATATTTATTTTCAAATATATATAAAAGCAATATTCGAATAGTAACTTTAGCACTCGAATAGTATCGATTTTTTTTTTTTTTTTTTTTTTTAATATTCGAATTATATTCGAATTTCGGAATTCGTTCCAACAGCCCTATTCCAAACACAGATGAAGATATTTTTTATGAAACCTGAGATTTCTGTCCCGTCATTTAAAGTCCATTCCTCTAAAACTTGAGTTAAAAAAATATCATAATATGAATGAACCTCTTTATATGATGAACCGATTCATACCGTTAAAAGCTTGTGTCACGCGAAAACACGAGTAAATGCGGAAGTTAAGTTTTTGGATGAAGTAACCATTAACAGTTTGTGAATAGTCGTTTTATGTGTGACATAGCGAGCACCGGTAGAGTCGCAGTCGTAGTCAAAATGCACGATAGATTGAGACGCCTTACAGGCTAACATAGTTCTAAAGGGCCGTACACACGGGGACGATATCTGCTCAAGTTATTCGTCAGCGTTTTTTAACGCGTTTTTTGTGTTCACACCCAAGCGATTTTCACTGACGATAGCCGAGTGAACATGCAAATTCATTCCCTGACATTAGATGGCGCCCGTTTGCTCTGCAATACCACTCCATAACAGTTCTCTTCTATCAAGATGTTTGTAGTCCCTGTCGCATTTGTCAAATAGTTCTTTATGTTTCTTTATGTTATTCATCTTGCCTCGCATCTTCCTCGGCTATTTCTTCCTGGCTGTGTACTGTAGACGGCGACGCGTATCTTCTTCGCCGTTGCATATGTGTGCTCGGTAAGACCGTTTTGTGTTTGAGCGCCCCCAAGTTGTGGTTTACTGTAACTTCAGAAGCTCCAAACACGTGAGCAAAAGCACCAATCTCATTGGTCGGATAGTTTTTGACCCGGCGCGACAAACTAAAAAAAACGAACCTGAGGCGTTTTTTTGTTTTTTTTAAATGACGCTTTTCCGCGTCGGTGTGCACACTCACATTGGCGCCCTTTGTTTAGTCACTAGGCGTTAAACGTCGGCGAATATCGCACACAAAATTTGTCCCGGTGTGAACAGGCCTTAAGACTGTTACCTTGGCAACCAGCAGTAACAATCAGTTACAGTACTAACCCTAACAGCCAAAAGAAAAGGAAAAAATGGCCCTTACCATATACTGTATATTCATCACCATCTCTGTGTCTTTAAAGCTACACTGTGTGATTTTTACCCCCATCTAGTGGTGAAAAGGTATATGACCATCCAGTGAATATTAGTTGCTGTTCCTCTCAATTCCGATTTCGTTTTAACTCCTACGGTGGCCAATGTAGTCCAAGATTAACATGGCTTCCAGTTCGACCTCGTCCATGAGTGTTAACTCAAACGTAAACGCGAAAGGCAAAGCTTGAATTAACGGGATGTCCCTCTTTGGCTAATGTACTTTCAAGATGGAGGGGCAACATGGCGACCAACATTAGAAGCCCTTACCCGTATGTATTTTCAATGGCATATTATACTCTCACGAGAATACTTTATTACTTGAACGAAGTAAATATACATTAATGAGCACATACACTCATCGGCCACTTTATTAGGTACACCTGTCCAACTGCGCGTTAACACTTAATTTCTAAGCAGCCAATCACATGGCGGCAACTCAGTGCATTTAGGCATGTAGACATGGTCAAGACAATCTCCTGCAGTTCAAACCGAGCATCAGTATGGGGAAGAAAGGTGATTTGAGTGACTTTGAACATGGCATGATTGTTGGTGCCAGAAGGGCTGGTCTGAGTATTTCAGAAACTGCTAATCTACTGGGATTTTCACGCACAACCATCTCTAGGGTTTACAGAGAATGGTCCGAAAAAGAAAAAACATCCAGTGAGCGGCAGTTCTGTGGGCGGAAATGCCTTGTTGATGCCAGAGGTCAGAGGAGAATGGCCAGACTGGTTTCGAGCTGATAGAAGGGCAACAGTGACTCAAATAACCACCCGTTACAACCAAGGTGGGCAGAAGAGCATCTCTGAACGCACAGTACGTCGAACTTTGAGGCAGATGGGCTACAGCAGCAGAAGACCACACCGGGTGCCACTCCTTTCAGCTAAGAACAGGAAACTGAGGCTACAATTTGCACAAGCTCATCGAAATTGGACAATAGAAGATTGGAAAAACGTTGCCTGGTCTGATGAGTCTCGATTTCTGCTGCGACATTCGGATGGTAGGGTCAGAATTTGGCGTCTACAACATGAAAGCATGGATCCATCCTGCCTTGTATCAACGGTTCAGGCTGGTGGTGGTGGTGTAATGGTGTGGGGAATATTTTCTTGGCACTCTTTGGGCCCCTTGGTACCAATTGAGCATCGTTGCAACGCCACAGCCTACCCGAGTATTGTTGCTGACCATGTCCATCCCTTTATGACCACAATGTACCCAACTTCTGATGGCTACTTTCAGCAGGATAATGCGCCATGTCATAAAGCTGGAATCATCTCAGACTGGTTTCTTGAACATGACAATGAGTTCGCTGTACTCAAATGGCCTCCACAGTCACCAGATCTCAATCCAATAGAGCATCTTTGGTATGTGGTGGAACGGGAGATTCGCATTATGGATGTGCAGCCGACAAATCTGCGGCAACTGTGTGATGCCATCATGTCAATATGGACCAAACTCCCTGAGGAATGCTTCCAGCACCTTGTTGAATCTATGCCACGAAGAATTGAGGCAGTTCTGAAGGCAAAAGGGGGTCCAACCCGTTACTAGCATGGGGTACCTAATAAAGTGGCCGGTGAGTGTATATTTTTAAAAGAACTAAGTGTTTTTAGCTAACAATAAACTAAAAGAGTTACACAGTGTAGCTTTAAGTTTCTCTTGGGGTCCTCCTCCCGTTGTAGGATATTTCTTCTTAAATCAAAGTACTGTAATACTCCAAGGCACTCGAATCGTGTATACAAAAGTTAAAAAGCCTTTATTAGATCATGGCTTTACTTCATAAAGTTGGTGACTGATACACCTACGCGTTACGGCTTATGCCTTCGTCAGGGTGTGTGTTGCAAACTAAGTCACAGGTGCATTTTAAGTTGCAGTTCATTAATCTAAATATTATACATAATATAAAGTCAAGAGAAGAAAATAAAAAAATATATATATTCAATAAGAAATTCAATAAGTGTAAAAAAAAAAAAGAATTCAATTACTAAAAAATAATAATAATGAAAGAAAAAAAACTATATACATCCAGATGAAACATTTTCAGCGATATCTTAATTAGGGAATACAAATCAAAACAGATCGATATAATTTATTCAACGAAATAGTGTAGAACAACAAACATCAATCAAAATGTATAAATCAATGGATATATTCATCTAGATGGTACACAATACGACTTATTGCATGAGCAGTAATTCACAAAAATGGTACAAAGTCTAGTTCTCCATTTAAGCCTGGAAATGTAGTAGCTTTCAGTGAGTAAATCCAGAAGGATTCTCTTTGTAATAACCTCTCAACCCTATCACCTCCTCTTATGGACTTGGGGATAAGTTCAATGCCTGTTATCTTTAGTGTACTTGGGCTTCCATGATTTGTATCTCTATAACGAATGGCCATAGGATATAGAGGATTACAAACTCGAATGGCATTTTTATGTTCTGATAATCTTTTCTTTAGTCTTCTAGTAGTCATTCCTATTTAAAAACATGCACATGGACACTCCAACCTATAGATCACAAATGAGGTATTACAATTGATAAAAGATCAGTGAACTTAGCGCTTGAACTTAACCACGTATTGGATTTCTTAGGAGAAAGATGACTTCTAACTAATTTGTCTTTGATTGTTGGTGCTTTTTCGAAATGCAATGGAAGGAGATACAGGCTAAATATTTATTTTTTGACATCTTGTACATGTTCTAGTATTTTTTCTGAACGTCTTTAATGCTCCACCCAACGCTGTTAATCTTTGTCCAAATGAAACATTTCCTCTTGTTTCTACATTTTCCGCTACTCTCCTCCAACAAACACACATTTTCCGTTAGGCTAAACATAAGATAGTCAGAGTCTTCAGTGCTTTGTGCAACGGTCTGATTTAGACGTCTATCTGAAGTCTGACGATCTTCTATATCTAAGCCATAGTCAAAGTCTGTTGTGGTGAAACTGTTCTGCGTGGTTCAGTCGTCTTGAGTGTGAACGGTCCCGTCCTCTGTCAGGTATGGACGAGTGAACTATGTGCTGTCCCGGCGTCTGGAGCTCCTGCGAGAGGTGGCCCGTCTGCAGGACAGTCTCGGTGTGCCCGGGGACGTTTCCTACACATGCGAGACCGCTGGACACTTCTACCTCTACCAGGTACCCAAACGCTTCCTTATGAACTTAAAACTAGCGGAGCACCCAAAGTAATAGTAGCAGTGTTAGTTGTGCAGTCATAATCTTGACAATCTGTTTAATTGATATTTAGGTGATTTTATCTCTTAACCCTCAGGTGCTCTTCGTTTCGGAGTCACACTTGTTATCTTCCCGGTCAAAAGTGACCGGACACCTAAAAATGAAACTTTCTCCATCCCAGTAAAACCAATGCAATTTATTTTTGTTCTATAATATTTATTCTTTTTAATTTAGTATTTTGAGACAATTTAATTGAATTTATTAATATTTATGCAATATTTATGGTTTATTTTTGCCATGGAAATATATATATATATTGTTTATATATATTATTTTTTTCAAAAAAATATTAATGCAGTATTTTAGTTTAATATAGAGTCTAGGCCTTCAGAAAAAAAATTTTTTTTGAAGAAAATTAGCACCATCTGGTTACAGTATAGAGAAAAAGCGTAGAATCATGGTGTAACCACTAGATGGCGTGTACAGCTCTCTATGGAGAGGCATGTGAATTCCCCAGATGTTTATGAACACATTTTTTTTGTTGGTGGTGGATTTCAATATACAATATATAGTTGAAACAATCTCAAACTATTTCTTATAAAAAAAAAATTGACAAACAAAAATACACCATTATTTATTTATTTATTTATTTATTTATTTTTTTAACAATTTCCCATTCATTTCCTATGGGGGTCATTTTTGACCAAAGACCACAAGTGTGACTATTTTTTTTAAGACCACTTAGCCTGCTCAGATCATGACCTCAATTTTTTTGTGTGTTCACATACATAATGCCATAAAAGTCACCAAGTTTCGTAACATTGCGATGAAGCTGTGATTTTTAAAAATTCAAAACATACTTTTTGTAATCAAAATTTATTGGTGTATATGTGTATAAAAGTGTGTGTGTGTGTGTGTGTGTTGGTGGGTGTGTCTGTTTTGCACTCTAGATGTTGTAGAGTGTCACCCCTTTCCTGCGGTGTACTTTTTTTTAGAATTGTGGCCGATTTGTAGATTTTGTCAATTTCCCATTCATTTCCTATGGGGGTCATTTTTCACCGAAGAGCACAAGTTTGACTATTTTTTTTACGACCACTTATCCTGCTCAGATCATGACCTCAAGTTTTTTTTGTGTGTTCACATACCCAATGCCATAAAAGTCATCAAGTTTCGTAACATTACGATGAAGCTGTGATTTTTAAAAATTCAAAACAGAAAATGTTTTGGTCAGAAATGACCGAAGAGCACCAGAGGGTTAACTTTAATGGCCAAAAATAGGATATTTTTGCTATATTTAGCTGTCTCACATTTCAACACTGTTATCATATTATTTGCTCCCTGAGAGTAAAATAACAAAAAACAACAACATTACATAAAATGCTGACAAACAGGAAGGGAAAAATGAATGAAATGAGATATTTGAATTGGGATCTTGAGAGAGAAACGGGGACAGGATGATCAGCTCAGCTCTCAATACATAAAATAATTTAAAAGAAGCATTATAAAAAGCTAATGTAAGATTATGCTGATATCTTACACTTAGAGAGCAGGGCGGCTGATATGTACAGTAGTTGCAAAAAAAAGTGATGATATGATCATATTGTATATTTTTAAAACTTAATTTATTTCACTAATTCAACGTAAAAGGTGAAACTAATATATTATATAGACTCGTTACATGCAAAGTGAGATATTTCAAGCCTTTGTTTGTTATAATCTTTATGATCTGATGAACTTCAAAATTAGAATATTGGGAAAAGGTTTTCATAAGCTTGTAAGCCATAATTATCAAAATGATAACAAATAAATGCTTAATGTATATCTCACTTTGCATGTAATGAATATTAGTTTCACCTTTTAAGTTGAATTACTGAACTTTTGCACGAAATGCATATTTTTCCAGTGCCTTTTTTTTCCTGAGGTTGTCTGTATTATGTAACATACATTGCCTTATACAAAAATGTCCAGTAACTTGAGCACTGAATGATATATCATTTTAACAGATAATATATATTGTATTTACTAGAAGCATTCCAGTAAATCCTGCTAACAGGGATTAGAAGTGAAAAGGGGAGATATATTACTTTTAAATGTATTGTTGTTGTTGAGGATAACCCCTTGAGATGAAACATCTCGTTTTCGAGGGGGTCCTCGAGACAAAACACAAATAATACAACACATGTACATTCACTCACACAAAAGCTCTACCTCATCTTTTTAAAGCGTCCGTGTGAAAACAAACCTGGAAAGAGACGCCGGCGTTCAGGGAGAAAAACAAGAGATTCTTAGTGCATTCCAGTGAATTATTAATGGGATATCTCATCAATTAAATCTGCGAGCAGACCTCAGATGCGCAGTACACACTGTCCTTTAGTCATACTGTTAAGGGGGAAATGGAAATAATCAGAAGGATGCGCAATGCAGCGACTGAAAAGAGCTCTAGCCATAGGTATTCTGGATAAACCACGGCACATTAAAAAACCAAACGTTCTCGTTCTCTCCCTCTCTGCCATGCACGCGCAGTGCGCTACGTACGTTATGCGCGCAGTGTGTTCTATCTCGCTCTAGATTCCGGGAGATTTGAACTATCAGGGAGACGCTATCAATATGCGGGAGACTCCCGGATCTTCCCGGATGTCTGTATGGGAAACGCTGATGATAGCCTACAGCTTGGATAACGTGCACAATTGTGTTACGATTCAAAAACTTTATTGTTCATTAGACGAAACAAAAGCATTTCACTTTTACATGCGTGTAAGCCGCGAGAAAGATTGCATATATAGATATATATTTTTTAACCCTTGTGCATCCTTATGGACATTTTTGTCCTTTTCAGTTTTGTTTTTTTGATCACTTTGCCTGTGTTAAAGCTAACTGCAAAAAACTTGGCACAGGTGTGTATTTTTATTGGAATTTTACTATTTCACCGTCATTTTCTTAAAAAAAAAAAAAATTTGCATTAGGTACAAACAGGGGCATAGCAATCATTTCAAACGTGAGGGGGACAGAATGTCAAGCATTATACCTTTTTTTTACAATTGCATACTGCATTTATATTGAATGGTAACACTTTACAATAAGGTTTTATTAGTTTATCTATCTATCTATCTATCCATCTATCTATCTATCTATCTATCTATCTATCTATCTATCTATCTATCTATCTATCTATCTATCTATCTATCTATCTATCTATCTATCTATCTATCTATCTGTCTATCTGTCTATCTGTCTGTCTGTCTGTCTGTCTGTCTGTTTTACTTAACCAAAATTGTCTTTCATATTGAAAACATTCAAACTTCATGCTTTTAAAACTTCTTCAAACTTTCTGGTTAGGCTTTTTAAAGAAAACTTAACGTTTGTCTACAAACTTTTTTAATCTAATTGTAAATAGGCTTGCCGCGATAGACGGTGTTGACGGTGTTACCGGTTTTAAGCCCCATCACCGGTGACATCACTTTCCCACCGTGACACCGCGATGTCTTGACTTTTTTTTTAAAGTATTCGTTTTTGCTAAAATATTTATTTGAATTAATTAAAAATAATAAGTTTCAATTATTTAGTTCTGAAGAGAACATTATAATTAAAAATGAACTGCGCAACGCGTGCCGTCACGTCACAGATCAGCAAGCATCAGGATTCCATTTAGCACGTGTAGAGACGAGAACGAGTCAAATTACAGAAAAGCAAGATAATGGCGGAAGATTTGGTGTCAAAACGCAATGCAAAAGCGCCTGTTTGGCAATATTTTGGCCAATATATATTAATGTTAATAAATGCCAATTTATAGTGTTTTACTTTTTTTAGAGTGCTGTCATTTATGTAGGCTAAGGTCCTTTTTAAAGTTTTTATTTTATATTTGTCTCTTTTTATTTGGTTTTATCTTATTTAAACTTTGTTTAATTTATTTAGGCCTATTTTGTTTTCTTATTCGTTAATAAACGTTTTATTTTTTTTGGGCCCACAGTTTGCCGATTTTCACTTTTTTCAGCCTATGGGGTTATTTTTATTCGTTCGTTATGCTAATAAAAGTTCTGTCTATATTTTATTCGTTTATTATTCTAATAAAAGTGCTGTCTAAATAAAAGTTTATTGTCAGCGAGTTGTTTTTTTTTTTTTTTTTTTTTTTTTTTTTTTTGTCCATTCCAGCAATTGACGCTGAATTGCAATTGACGCTTATTTCGAAAGTGAAAGTATGTCATTTATGTAGGCTAAGGTCCGTTTTGAAGTTTTTATTTTATATTCGTCTCTTTTTAATTGGTTTTATCTCATTTAAACTTTGTGTAATTTATTTAGGCCTATTTTATTTTCTTATTCGTTAATAAACGTTTTATGGTTCTTATTTGTTTGGGCCCACATTTTGCCGATTTTCACTTTTTTCAGCCTATGCATGGGGTTATTTTTATTCGTTCGTTATGCTAATAAAAGTCTATAAATAAAAGTTTTATTATCAGCGAGTTGTTTTTTTTTGTCCATTCAAGCAATTGACGCTTATTTCGAAAGTGAAAGTATAACGCGCACGCATTTAAAAGCTATTTAACCCCCCCGCCCTGCCCTCCACGGTGACACCGGGATTACCGGTGTTGTCACACGTCGATTAACCGGTGGGAAATTTTCCTCACCGCGGCAACCCTAATTGTAAAGTGTTACCTTATTATATAGTAAACATCATGTACACATGTTACAAGTCAAGTGCAACTCTGCATGATTCAAGCAAATAAGTTAGATAATGGCAGAAAATTAGGCAAAGTTATTCATCAATGACAATGAGCAACCAAATTCGGATACCACATTACAACTTACAGTTCTTGACTTTTTTGCGAAAAAAGTGTGAAGTGTTTTTTTGCCGTTTTGAATTCCTTTTGACCTTCGACGATGGATTCAGTGCGGGTGCGAGCACGGGCGTGTGGTGATGCACGAGCGCGAGTGACTGATTACCATGGCAACGTGAAAGTCACGTGTAGATACAGTATAGGCGATCTTTTCTCTTTGAATTTTAAATCTGTATCTATAAATACACATTGACCCGCGAAAACCTCAACATGTCGTGAACACTTCCCCTATGAAAAAGTGCGGGGGACAAATTTACATTTTAATCGTAATCTACGCCCTTGGGTACAAAAAATACTCCCTCTCAGCGCCTTTTGGACAAAATTGTCCCCATTGAAACCCATTAAAACTGCCATTTTTTTAATCCCCGGTTCAGTTAACTATAAAAAATTATTCAATCTTTGTTAAGAGGCTTTCATTCTGATGGCAAGGCTTCAAAATTGTATTTTTTACTATTTTTTATCAGATGTTGCCTTTTTTTTAAGTTTGGCCAATAAAACAAATATCGCTTTATTCCTGTTTTCTGCTTCGGCATACTACAGAGCCAACTGGATAAATTATGCAACAATATTTGTGTGGGTGTGTTAGTATGGATGTCAGAGTGTGGTTAGTATGTGTGTTACAAAAAAATATGTGTGTGTGTGTGTGCATGTGTGTGTTTGTAATACTGAGAGAGAAAAACTGCAAATTCAGATCCAATCACTGTGAGCTTTTGCTGGCACCCAATGGGGAAAATATGTTACTACGCCCAAACAAACTGTTACCCAAAGCTCATTTTTTGAGATATCATCCTCAAATTTTGGAACACAACCTATTTAGATTCATGGCTTTGATTTTATTGCAGTTTTGAGTTCAACCTGATTTAAAAAAATATATATTTTATATAAAATATTTTTTATAAATAATTTTCATAAACTTATACCTATATAACTTTTTTTTGGATTTATTTATTATTATTTTTTTACTTCAGCAATAATCTGCAAAGGGTCTTCTTTAAAATGATACCAAACTTAAGTCTGTGCTCCAAAGCGTCACGTTTTTATGACAGTTTTTTGACATGGACATTTTTGTCCTCTTTTTACCTATGTGTAACTTTTTTAAATTGATGCACAAGGGTTAAATATACACTACCGGTCAAAAGTTTTAGATCAGTAAGATTTTTTATGTTTTTAAAAGAAGTCTCTTCTGCTCACCAAGGCTGCAATTATTTGATTAAAAATACACAAAAAAAACAGTAATATTGTGAAATATTATTACAATTTAAAACAGCGGTTTTCTATGTGAATATATATATAGTGAAGTGTAGTTTATTCCTGTGATCAAAGCTGAATTTACAGCATCATTGCTCCAGTCTTCAGTGTCACGTGATCCTACAGAAATTATTATAATATGATGCTCAAGAAACATTTCTGATTATTATCCATGTTGAAAACAGTTTTTTACATTTTTATTTCAGGATTCTTTGATGAATAGAACAGAATTGATCTGAAATGGAAAGCTTTTGTAACATTAATCACTACCATTCAAAAGTTTGGGGTCAGTAAGAATTTATTTTTTTATTTTTGGGGGAAAGAAATTAGAAAATACTTTTATTCATCAAGGATGAGTTAAATTGATCAAAAGTTACAGTAAAGACATGTATAATGTTAGAGAAAAGATTATATTTTAAATAAATGCTGTTCTTTTGAACTTTCTATTCATCACATGGTACACGACTGTTTTCAACATTGAAAATAATAATTTGTTTTTTGAGCATAAAATCAGCATATTAGAATGATTTCTGAAGGATCATGTGACACTGAAAACTGATGTGTAATCAGCAACAGTAATGATGTTGAAAATTCAGCTTTGATCACAGGAATAATTTACACTTCACTATATATTCGCATAGAAAACCACTGTTTTAAATTGTAATAATATTTCACAATATTACTGTTTTTTTTTTGTGTGTGTTTTTTTTTATCAAATAATTGCAGCCTTGGTGAGCAGAAGAGACTTCTTTTAAAAACATAAAAAATCGTAAACATTTGACCGGTATTGTATATAAAAGCAATATTCGAATAATAACTTCAGCATTCGAATAGTATTGATTTTTTTTTTTTTTTTTTAAATATTCAAATTATATTCGAATTTCGGAATTCGTTCCAAAAGCCCTAGTCCGGAGTAGGGCTGTCAGTTTACGTTCGAAAATCGATTGCACAATCAATCAGACCAACCAACACAAGTTTCGAAAACGAAAATAGGGACTCGATTTTAAAGGCCTTTTTCTTTTTTACCAAAAATGTGTGTTAGGTGGACAGATCAATACAGCACACAGAACATGTCGAATGCTGGAAAATAACAATGTCTTTTCTGTTCACCAAATGCTTTTAATATTCGTTATTACTGCAATGCGAGTGAACAAGCGCGCCGTTATTTGTTGCGTAGTGACGTGTGTGTGTGTGTGTGTTCAAGTAAACCAGTAATGCACAGATTCTGCGATACGCTGCATTTAATATATCATGAGGATCACAAGTTGCGTATTTTGCACTAAATCCGCTCAGATTCGTCTTACGCGAACTTCCCAGCAAAGAGAGTGAACATAGAAACACACCAGATTGGCTCGTGATTGGACAACAAAGTTCATTTTTCCCACATTTGGCGAGTCGAGTGTTAATCTCAATCCCTGAATGTTGCGCTCCTGTTTGTCATTGTGCTGAAACTTCACCAATAAATCCTCAGAAATATTGCTGACTTGTGCGTCTCAAGCGCCCCTTTACGCTCGTCCTAACGCCTGTTAGGTGTCCGTGGATTTGCCTGTATTTGGTGTTGAAAATGGAAACGTCTTTAGATGGAAAATTGATTTTACAATCAATTCAATGAACAGCACTAGTGTGGAGTGCAGGACTGATCTGTGAATCTAGGCAGCGCTTTCATTTGTGCTCATCTTATCGCTCTCTGTGGTTCGATACATCACGCTGTGGTCTGTAGATTCATATCAGCGCCTCGGGGGGATCCTTACGGCCCATTAACTCGGATCACAGAGATTACAGTGAAACGCGTGTTGTACTAATTAAGTGTGTATTGTGACGAGGCTGTTTGTCCATTGATGCGCTGTTAATGAGTTCTGCCCCTGAAACCCTCAGGCGCTGATTTTATCTGCCTGTCTGTCTATCTCTCGTGTCGTAGGTCATTTCTCGTTGGGAGGAATACATGAGTAAAGTGAAGCCGAAGCCCAGCCGAGAGGTGCCGGTGGAGGACGTGGCGTCACACTTCCCGTTCCAGAAGTACTTCTCCAATGCTCCTCAGCCAGTGTTCAAAGGCCAGTCGTACCAGGAGGACATGGACATCGCCGAGGGCTGCTACCGCCACATACGCAAGATCTTCACACAGCTAGAGGTACGGCTGGACCACAGAGACGGTTATATTATTAATTACGCTTACATACTTTTTTTGCCTTTTATCCTACACATGTGAATCTTCTCTTGCCCTACGATTCAATTCGATTCGGGTTCAGGGGGTAATGAAAACGATTCTTGATGCATCTTTTCCTCCAAATCTTTTATTAATAATAATTGTTATTAATATTCACAATACAATTGTTTTTGTTATTTAAATTTGAACTTAAATTTAAATTAAAACTTAAATTAAATTTAAACAAACAGTAGAACAAATACAATATGGGGAAATACAATTAAATTATTTTAACAAGTAAGAAATAATACAGAAATGGAATAATCAAATGTAAAAAAAATAATTACTAATCTCAATACATAGATGGGGAAAAGTCTATTTTGGTTAAGGGACAGTTTATCTGAAATAAATACATAATAGTACAATAAAAAATTGGTAAGTCGTTTAATTTATAAATCCTAATTAATGTAGTTGCAAGCAGCAATCACAGGGCAAAGCACAACAGCGGAAGGTCTGTTACATGTACATTAAATACATGTCATCCCTGATGATAATTTGACCCAAAACAATATAATGTAATTCCTCATTACTTTTGACCAGTAGGTGTCGCTGTCACCAAATTGATATGGTGTTGTCAGAGAATGGTTACATGCAAAGTTTAATGTAATTATGCCAAAGCGAGATCCTTTTTTAGTGACTTGTCAGATTTGACAAGTGTATTCAATTGTAAATAGCCAATGCCCAATACAGCTGACATTAAAGAGGACCTATTGAGTCTTGATGTTGTTTTTGGGCTCCACTAGGGATGTAACGATTCACTCAACTCACGATGCCATACGATTCACGATACCGGTTTCACGATACAATTTTCTTACGATTTTTGAGAATTATGAACAAATGAGAATTAAGACAAATTATAAAATGAAAAAGTGTCTCTTTTATTATTTCTCAGACATTTTTCATTTTGAAATATATTTGTCAAATAATAAAACTTGATTGAAAAAAAAAAATTCCCTGCAAGGTTGTTTCAACTCTGTCTGGTCAAGAGGCTGGACACTGGTACCTTCGCACATTTAGGCCCCGCCCACACTACTGCATTTTCGTTTAAAAACGGAGACCTTTTTCTACGTTTGCACCTCCCGTCCAGACTAAAACGGGAAAAACGAAGACCTAAAACGGAGAAGTTTAGAAACGCTAAAACGTAGGACTTCAGAGACGCTGACGCAGAAGCTGACGCTCGGCTCTATGATTGGGTGTTCTCAGTCATGACGTATCCTTCCCTGATTCGTCATTCACTGTTTACACCGGCACGCGCATGCCCAGTGTTGGTGAATGGTCACGTGATCCTCGTTTTCAATCATTTTAATGTGGACGGAGATCATTTCTAATACGCAGATAAAACGCTGGTGTGGACGGAGATCGTGTTCGTTTTAATTCTCCGTTTTTAAACGAAAACGCAGTAGTGTGGATGGGGCCTGATAAAAGACTGTAAAATCAGTAGCCGACCACATTGACGGGCGTTTTACATTGTAATAAAGGAAAGATTTGAATTTTGTCATAATTTGTATCATTAAACTAGAAAGAGTTAAAAAAAACAGAACATTTAGCAAAATATGCCATAAATAAAAACAAATTATTAAAAAAATAAATAAATCCATGTACACGACATTTAGAGAAAGAGATAGTAAAATAAATACAACACATGGTTGCCATGGAAACACTGACGCACCTTGTGATCTCCGTAGCTCTCACACTTGTCGCATTAATGACTTTTATGTGAAAACGGAGGTGATGTGCTTCTCGCGGTGGTGATTATTATTAGTCTACGAATAGTCAAAATGCCGCCACAGCTCCGATTTGAATGAGTCGGCATCTACGCTTGCCGTCGCCGTGTGTTTGACAGCCCGAGCGGAGCAAACCAAGCGTTTTCAGTTCATTACTATCATAAGTCAGTCCCTCCAGAAAAACGCGATTATGCGATCGCTGAATTCAATGCAAAATCAGCCAAAGTCCGCATATTTATGCGGGGGCCGCATTTTTTCAAATACGCCGCAGTTTCGCCGCATAAATTGCCGATTTCCGTGCAAAATATGCGGGGTTTGCATAATTTCATAATCCTCGCATTTTCGTTGCAAAAAAAGTCACATGTATCTTAGCAGAAAGTTGAAAAATGTTGCGTTTGCTTCACACAAGAGCAGCCATTTCCCCCTGTTTCCATGGGAACGTTATGAAGTGACGCAATTGCGTGACGCCGGACAGACTCACGGAGGCGATTGACATCTCACAAGTCGAACTCGTATTCTGTCTGTCACACGTTCTACCGTCACATCGTTACTTAATAAACAACATAAGATAAAAGAAGTATTATCAATCAGAAATTACCCACACACATGGGGTGTTCGAGGCGCACATATAACACTGCAGAGAGTTCAACAGGAGCGCGCAGCTCTTAAAGGGGCCACACCTTATTTACATTCGTTATAGTCTGAAATAAAACAAGATGAGAAATTAAATATTCCCAGCACTTTCTATGATGTAGTATGCTTGCTTATCAAAGGAAGTAATAAGAAATGACTCTTACATTAGCCTAGTGAGAACAGGATGTTGGGGGAATCACTTTTTTTCTCTTTTTCATCAAACCGCAATTTTTGCAAATTCCTGCAATTTCATCGCATAAAATTGCATAAATATCCCGCATATTCCATCGCATTTTTAAAGAAAACGGGCCGCATAATCAATCAATTTTTTGCCCACAACAATCACAAAAAAACTCTGCGTTTTTCTGGAAGGACTAAATACTATTATGGTAAATGTTATATATAAATCGCAAATTTTTTCACAAATTTTTGGAAATTACCACCACAAAATCAGTCAATTTGATCGCAAAAATCACAAAAAAAAAAAAATCGTGAAATCCTGGAGGGACTGATAAGTGAGTGCTCACACAAGCTCAAGTTCCTTAGGAATGAAGTGAAAACACTCGCTAAAGGTTCGCGCCAGTGTGTGTTCGCTGCTATTGTGCCTGTAAAGCGAGGTTCACAACTTCACTGTAGGCTATTCCCCTGTCCTGCTGTTTAAAACGTGCATCGCGATTCGTTTAACACTTCAACCGACTTGAATCGTCACACATTTTGATCGATTTTCAACAGGTTGCGAGTGAATCGTCACATCCCTTGGCTCCACTAGAATAGGGTTTCATGCTTGAATGTTACTAAGAAAACCACATTATTTTCCCCACATTTGTTGCGGCTCCACTCTTCCCAGTCTGTCAGGAACGCTCTGTTAATTCCCGTCTCCTCCTTCTGAAAAGCACACTGTGCTCTGATTGGTCGACTGGAGCAGTGTGCTGTGATTGGTCGAGTGCTTCGAGTGTGTTTGGGAAATGTCCCGCCCCGGAGTTCAGAAACAATCATATTAGAGAGGTTTTTTTAATGCTCAAACAGCTACACACTAAAGAATGCTCACTTTAAACGCATAGTTTGCCCATTTGTGCTTTCATCCATGAAGATAAATCCATCAATAATCATCTCCCTCCCCTCCTTTAAGGCCCGTTATTCTGGGATGCCCTCTTCTTTGATGTTGATTTCTCATCCTTTCATCCTTTGTGTTGATTTGCTGACAACAAAGACACGTCCCTGTAATAAAGTTGTGCGTCATCATAGCCACAATGCTGCTGTGTGTGTGTGTTTGGGTCTGTCCCTCAGCTGTCACTGCTGAAGACTCAGGGTTAAAAGAAAAAACTTATCAGCCTCATCAATATTGAATGGTTTGATGGGTTTAATATTAATGCAGAAGCGCATCAAATATTCATTTCCCAATGGACACAGTCCTGAAAATATCCAGCTGGGTTAACCTCTCTTCACCGCACAGATCCGAGCCACTATCGAACAGAAACGGATACTCGATATCTGAGTGTGCCGCCCACCTCGAGAAGAAACCAAAGATGCCGTTTCTAACAAATGACAGGAAGTAGAAAGAAACACAATCACTTCTAATGGATGTTCCAACACCAATCTCATCTTGTGAAATTCAGTCATTCAAAATATTGTGGCGACTTGCGTTTTAACCCGATAACCCCTGCATATTTCTAATACATCTAAATTATAAATGTAATCAAAAGTAGCTGAAAAAAAATATATGTAAAAGTAACTTGTATGTTGTTTGTAATATTACAAGATGAACACTTACTGAACTAAAGCAACTTTATTTTTTTTTAGAAAAATTGTTTAAATGTGAGTCATATATGATCATCAGACTTTTAAGGAACGTTTATTTGTTCATCTTTCAATCATCATTATTGTATTGCATTACACGTGTTTTGATAATAAAACTAAGCCTTTAATTATCATATTACTCATAAGTAAGATTATATTGGCAGGTATGGTGACGACGACTGGTATTTATCTAATTTTATGTAAGTATCTGCTGTACTGTTATAAAGCTCTCATTGATTTGTATAACAACCATCAGAATTTCAACTTACTTTTTGTCTATATAAATATCAGCATCTGCACCAAAACTTGAGTTCTCACTATATCAGACTACATGAGCCATAAAACCCTGATGTATCAAATATGATACTCGGCAAAACACGCATGCAAACTTTATTCAATATTTTGTAATAAGGCAGGCATTGCATGCTGTTTTTACTCCACATTGCACCTGGTATATTGGGGGACTTTTTTGTTTTAACCCTCAGGTGCTCTTCAATGCAATTGGTTTTATTTTTGTTCTATAATATTTATTCTTTTTAATTTAGTATGTTGAGACAATTTAAATGAATTTATTAATATTTATGCAATATTTATGGTTTATTTTTGCCATGGAAAAATATATATTATTTTCTATATATGTTATTTTTTTTCAAAAAAATATTAATGCAGTATTTTAGTTTAATATAGAGTCTAGGCCTTCAGAAAAAAAATATTTTTTGAAGAAAATTAGCACCATCTGGTTACAGTATAGAGAAAAAGCGTAGAATCATGGTGTAACCACTAGATGGCGTGTACAGCTCTCTATGGAGAGGCATGTGAATTCCCCAGATGTTTATGAACACATTTTTTTGTTGTTGTTGTTGGTGGTTTTGTATATATAGTTGAAACAATCTCAAAAACTATTTCTTATAAAAAAAAAGACAAACAAATATTCACAATTGTTTGTCTTCATTTTTTTTTACAATTTCCCATTCATTTCCTATGGGGGTCATTTTTTTTTTTTTTTTTTTTAAGACCACTTAGCATGCTCAGATCATGACCTCAATTTTTTTGTGTGTTCACATACATAATGCCATAAAAGTCACCAAGTTTCGTAACATTGCGATGAAGCTGTGATTTTTAAAAATTCAAAACATACTTTTTGTAATCAAAATTTTTTTATATGTTTGTGTATAAAAGTGTGTTTGTGTGTGTGTGTGTGTTGGTGGGTGTGTCTGTTTTGCACTCTAGATGTTGTAGAGTGTCACCCCTTTCCTGCGGTGTACATTTTTTTTTAGAATTGTGTCCGATTTGCAGATTGTACATACAAAAATTCAGAGAATTTTTTTTTGTATCAATTTCCCATTCATTTCCTATGGGTCGGTCATTTTTGACAGATGAGCAAAAGTGTGACTCGTTTTTTTACGACCACTTAAATTGCTCGAATCATGACCTCAATTTTTTTGTGTGTTCACATACCCAATGCCTTAAAAGTCACCAAGTTTCGTAATTTTCTGAAGAAGCTGTGATTTTTAAATATTCAAAACAAATTTCTTTAATCACAATTTATTGGTGTTTTTGTGTATAAAAGTGTGTGTGTATGTGTGTGTGTAGGGGTGGGTATATGTGTTTTGCACTCTTGATGTTTTAGAGTGTCACCCCTTCAATGCTGAGCACTTTTTTTCTGCATCGTGGCCGATTTGTAGATTGCACACACAAAAATTCTCAAAGTTTTTGTCAATTTCCCATTAATTTCCTATGGTCGTCATTTTTGACCGAAGACCACGAGTGTGACTATTTTTTTTACGACCACTTAGCCTGCTCAGATCATGACCTTAATTTTTTTTGTGTTCACATACATAATGCCATAATAGTCACCAAGTTTAGTAACATTCAGATGAAGCTGTGATTTTTAAAAATTCAAAACAGAACATTTTTCGGTCAGAAATGACCGAAGAGCACCTGAGGGTTAAGCGTGTCCATGTGTGGTTTCAGCGCTGAGGTGTTCATAAGGCTTCTTCTTCTTCTCTCCTGCAGGAGTTCAGGGCTTTTGAGCTGTTGCGCAGCGGGCTGGACCGATCCAAATACCTGCTGGTGAAAGAGGCCAAGATCATCGCCATGACCTGCACACACGCCGCTCTCAAACGCCACGACCTGGTGGAGCTCGGCTTCAAGGTATCACACAAACACATCGTCCTCGTCAACCTCTCCTTTTTATAGCTTAGTTAAACCAGGTTTCAAAGCATTTTTCATGGGGTGACATGTTGGAATCATAAACAATGCTGCATTTGACAAAGACAAGATCAATAAAATGAACAGAATCAGCACACAACCACAAATGTACACCAGGAGTTTCTGACTAAGTGGATGTGTCTTTAAAAATGTGAACTGTTTTTTTTTAAGCCAGTTCCTTACAGGGTTTCTACGCAATTTGGAAAAATATGGAATTTGATTTGAGAAATTTCCAGGTCTGGAAAAGTATGGAAAAAAGAAAGCAGAGTATGGAAAAATACACTGCTCAAAAAAATAAAGAGAACACTAAAATAACACATCATAGATCTGAATGAATGAAATAATCTTATTAAATACTTTTTTCTTGTTTTTACTTTTTAAGTGTTGTTTAAGTGTTCCCTTTATTTTTTGGAGCAGTATATTTGCATTTCCAGACTATTGCACCTATTTAGTTTTCTACAATTAAGAATTTAATGAAAATAAATGTGTTTTCATGGCAGCTGTTTAGTGAACTGTCACCGTCCCACAGGTGGGACGTTTGCCACTATATTTTTAAAACAATAATATCTTAGTAAATACCTTAAATAATATTGACAAACTATATATCATTTGAAAGCTTACAATCTCTAGTTTCCATATTTGGTGACTGATTTTCAAAATATATTACAGAGGAGCCATAATTTATCAATATAAAACAAGAATATTTTCATACTCATAAGGCGTGTTCAGACCTTTATTTTAAAATAGCAGTAAACATGAAAAATCATGAAAAAATGGTAGATACCTCAGTTTGTTTTCATGCCAAAAGTTCAAAAGATAGAATCCATTCAATTATTTTGGAAAAAAAAGGTCTGAAAAGTTTGAAATATCAAGAAAAAAATAATAAATTCACCATTTGTGACGTGGCAGCTAGCTATGACTTACATGCGTGTTCTTTGTATGTGTTTCTTAGAGGTTCAATTCATATCAAAATCTGCCAAACTTCCTATGCTACTTCTGAATAGGATCTCTACTTCAGAAATTGTATGAAAATTGTGAAAATAATGGTTCATATCACTCAAAAACAGGAATGGAAATGCAGACGCCCTTATATGGGCAGTAATGGAGTCTGATTGTGCCCTAGTGAAAAAGTTTGGTACTGCGCTCAAACAAAATCTTACTGAAAGCTCATTTTTTGAGATATCAACCTAAAATTTGAAACACAACTTGTTCAGATTTTTGGCTTCGATCTTTCTGCCATTTTAGAGTAGCCCAGGTTTTGAAAATATATATTTTATGTAAAATATGAATAATTAATATTTTTACATTGTACATTTCCATAAACTCAAACTTCTATAACTTTTTTTCTGTTTCACTTTCTTAATTTATTTCACTTCTACAAAAATCTGCCAAATGTCTTCTTTAAAACAAGACCAATCATATGTCTATATTCCAAAGCATTCTTGAATTACAACCATTTAAGTTCGAAATGTGCATTTTCATGTCTATTCAAAAAAGGGGGGGTGACAGTTAACAGGTTAAACACACTGGTACACTTTTTCATTATGCAAAACTGCCAGTTATAAGTGTTTTTGATTTCTTCTCACGATATTCTTAGTACCGTATTACAGAGTCTCTAAAAGGACATTAAGAAAGCGTTAACACTGCACACTGAGCACCCTATTGCACCATCAGCCCATTTCGTGGTGTGGTTTCTTGGCCGCCACTGTGTAAGCCTTGAAATATGACATACTGCCCTAGCCAAACCCAAATATTGAACACTTTATCACAGTACCAGTCTTTTTTATTATAGGCCCCTTAAACTTGGCAAATAGGACACAGCCGTATTGTGCCATCAGCTCATTTCGTGGCACGGTTTCTCGGCCGCCACTGAGGGTGTGTAAAATAGGACATTAAGCCTTGATGTTAGAGGTACTACCCAAGGAAAGCCAAATTTTTAGCAAATAGATCTTGATTAATTTGCTCTCGTTTTTTCTTCAAAGCAAAATGGTAGTGACACATAAAGGAAATAAGTTATAGTTTATACACATCTAGAAATTGTAATACATACTGAACACAAACAATTCCAGTGCGCAAATGAATAGTTTCTTGAGGGAGCGAAAAAGTTTCTGGCATCCATGCAGAAGTCTGTAAAAATATATATATTTATCTAATTTTATATACATGTGTATATATATGTATTTATATGTATATGTCTGGAATGTTGAAATGGATAATGTGTGGAAACCCTGTAATTAACTGATGTACTACAGTAAATGTGCAAGTCCACACTTAAAGGATTAGTTCACTTTTGAAAAAACTTTTGCTGATAATTTACTCACCCCCATGTCATCCAAGATGTCCATGTCTTTCTTTCCTCAGTCGAAAAGAAATTAAGGTTTTTGATGAAAACATTCCAGGATTTTTCTCCTTATAATGGACTTCAATGGGAACCAGACGGTCGGAGGTCCAAACGACAGTTAATAACAGTTTCAGATGCAGCTTCAAATGTCTTTAAACGACACCAGACGTTGAATAAGGGTCTTATCATGCGAAACGATCGGTTATTTTAAAGCTTATTCCAAAAATGTAACTTTTCTAAGGACAAATGCTAGCCTTTCTCCAATCTGTGAGGCGCGTTTGTAACGTCACGTAATACGTGATTACGTTCAAAAGATCACGGGCGACGTAGCCAGAAGTACAGAGTCAGTGTTTACAAGTTGAACGCATAGGTTGAACGTGCAAACTAACTCAAACGCCGTTTACAAAAAAGGAATTAAAAGGTAAAACAACGATGTCGGACGATTTTGATTCTGTACTTCCGGCTACGTCGCCCGTGACCTTTTGAACGTAATTACGTATTACGTGACGTTACAAACGCGCCTCACAATATATTACAAGGCTTGCATTTGTCCTTAGAAAAGTTACATTTTTGGAATAAGTTTTGAAATAACCGATCGTTTCGCATGATAAGACCCTTATTCATCGTCTGGTGTCGTTTAAAGACATTTGAAGCTGCATCTGAAACTGTTATTAACTCTCGTTTGGACCGTCTGGTTCCCATTGAAGTCCATTATAAAGAGAAAAATCCTGGAATGTTTTCATCAAAAACCTTAATTTCTTTTCGACTGAGGAAAGAAAGACATGGACATCTTGGATGACATGGGGGTGAGTAAATTATCAGCAAAAGTTTTTTCAAAAGTGAACTAATCCTTTAACATTAACGTCTCCTGCCTTAATACTGACTTGCTTGATCTTTCTCTAGTACGATAATATCCTGATGGAGGAGGCAGCTCAAATCCTGGAGATCGAGACCTTCATCCCTCTACTGCTGCAGGTACCACACTCTCTTGCTTCAAATATGGTTTGTTTTGTTTATTGTTATATAGTTATGTAATGTTCAGATTAGAGGAGCCTTCGTTTCAACCACACAGCCCTCGCGTCACATGAGATTCTAAATGATTAATGCAAAAGTTATACTGAAAATGTTCCTTTGAAGATTCTGTATCTCTAAGCTCTTACTTTCTGAGAGCCTGCTGTGCTCTGATTGGTCAGATGGCCTAGTCTGTTGTGATTGGTCTACTCAGCTCTGATTGGTCAGATGGCTCAGTCTGTTGTGATTGGTCTACTCAGCTCTGATTGGTCAGATGGCTCAGTCTGTTGTGATTGGTCTACTCAGCTCTGATTGGTCAGATGGCCCAGTCTGTTGTGATTGGTCTACTCAGCTCTGATTGGTCAAATGGCTCAGTCTGTTGTGATTGGTCTACTCTGCTCTGATTGGTCAGATGGCCCAGTCTGTTGTGATTGGTCTACTCAGCTCTGATTGGTCAGATGGCTCAGTCTGTTGTGATTGGTCTACTCAGCTCTGATTGGTCAGATGGCTCAGTCTGTTGTGTTCGGTCTACTCAGCTCTGATTGGTCAGATGGCCCAGTCTGTTGTGATTGGTCTACTCAGCTCTGATTGGTCAAATGGCTCAGTCTGTTGTGATTGGTCTACTCTGCTCTGATTGGTCAGATGGCCCAGTCTGTTGTGATTGGTCTACTCAGCTCTGATTGGTCAGATGGCTCAGTCTGTTGTGATTGGTCTACTGTGCTCTGATTGGTCAGAAGGCTCAGTCTGTTGTGATTGGTCTACTCAGCTCTGATTGGTCAGATGGCTCAGTCTGTTGTGATTGGTCTACTCTGCTCTGATTGGTCAGATGGCCCAGTCTGTTGTGATTGGTCTACTCTGCTCTGATTGGTCAGATGGCTCAGTCTGTTGTGATTGGTATGCTCTGATTGGTTGGATGGACCAATCACAACAGACTGGGTCATCTGACCAATCAGAGCAGAGTAGACCAATCACAACAGACTGAGCCATCAGCAAAATAGACATTGTTTGCAGACCACCAATGAAGACCACAGTCTGAAGACCATGAGTACTGACGACTCATTTCATGCAGTTCAGAATCGCTTCTGAATAATTTTATTTTGTAGTGCACTTTGATCTTTAAAACTTTGTAGACGTTTTACATTCACAAACAGCTCTATTACACACTACATGAAAGGTCCTATTCGGAAAAAGCGTTATGGGGACTATGAACTATAGTAAACATCTAGTTAGAAATAATCATGTTCTCCACACTAAATTTCGCAAATTCTCGGCCCTTGTGTCACACAGAACCCAGAGGACGGCTACAGTCGCCTCAAGCGCTGGATTATGATTGGGGATCATCATCAGTTGCCTCCTGTCATCAAGAACATGGCCTTTCAGAAATATTCCAACATGGAGCAGTCGCTGTTCACCCGCTTCGTGCGTCTGGGTGTGCCCACCGTGGACCTGGACGCCCAGGGCAGAGCACGCGCCAGGTCAGTCTGATGACTCTCACATGACTTCTTATTGTGTTTACTAATACTAGTAAAAATAAAATATAAATATCACATGAAAAGTTTAAACTCAAAATGTGAAACGTTGCCTTGCCATGTAACTGAAGCAGAATAAGCTGAAGTACAAAAACGATTAAAACTAACACTTTATTACTTTATTATTCAACATATTGATACATATAAATATTATACAGATATAATTTATTGAATGAATACAAATAAAATATGAATAAAAATAAACAATAACTTAATGTAGACAACATTCTAATGAGCAGCAACACAGAAAATACACACATATTTGGTAAAATAGCAAATTTGATCATTTTTTTTATTATATTAAACTATTTCTTATTATTACTAGAAGTATTTTTATGAAATTTTCTGTTTCTATTATTTTCTCAACTCGTCCGCCATCTTTTTTACATTACACTGCAGGTGATCCTGATTATTATAATTATTATTATTATTATTGTCACCCATTTTAACTTGGAATCCAAAGCACATTATCTTAGAAGGTAACATGATGCTGTCTTCCTTTCTATGACGCCTTAACATGCTGTTTGGTTAGCCGCTCACTAGCTTTCAGAGGTACTGTGTCCTCAGATCTGAAGTGTCCTGTTTTGCCTCTCTCTCTCTCTCTCTCTGGCAGTCTGTGTAACCTGTATAACTGGCGCTATAAGCAGCTGGGGAACCTCCCTCATGTTCAACTCCAGCCCGAGTTCCAGTCACCGAACCCTGGGTTCACATACGACTTCCAGCTCGTGAACGTGGAGGACTTCAATGGCGTGGGCGAATCAGAACCCAACCCATACTTTTATCAGGTGAGCAAGTTATTATGACACACACAGATCACAAGAGTGTTTCTTTCTCCCCTGAACCATCATAAACCAGTCGTTTCCAGCATCATAAACCAGTCATTTCCAGCATCATAAACCAGTCATTTCCAGCATCATTAACCAGTCATTTCCAGCATCATAAACCAGTCATTTCCAGCATCATTAACCAGTCATTTCCAGCATCATAAACCAGTCATTTCCAGCATCATAAACCAGTCATTTCCAGCATCATTAACCAGTCATTTCCAGCATCATAAACCAGTCATTTCCAGCATCATTAACCAGTCATTTCCAGCATCATAAACCAGTCATTAACCAGTCATTTCCAGCATCATAAACCAGTCATTTCCAGCATCATAAACCAGTCATTTCCAGCATCATTAACCAGTCATTTCCAGCATCATAAACCAGTCATTAACCAGTCATTTCCAGCATCATAAACCAGTCATTTCCAGCATCATAAACCAGTCATTTCCAGCATCATTAACCAGTCATTTCCAGCATCATTAACCAGTCATTTCCAGCATCATTAACCAGTCATTTCCAGCATCATAAACCAGTCATTTCCAGCATCATAAACCAGTCATTTCCAGCATCATTAACCAGTCATTTCCAGCATCATTAACCAGTCATTTCCAGCATCATTAACCAGTCATTTCCAGCATCATTAACCAGTCATTTCCAGCATCATAAACCAGTCATTTCCAGCATCATAAACCAGTCATTTCCAGCATCATAAACCAGTCATTTCCAGCATCATAAACCAGTCATTTCCAGCATCATAAACCAGTCATTTCCAGCATCATAAACCAGTCATTTCCAGCATCATAAACCAGTCATTTCCAGCATCATTAACCAGTCGTTTCCAGCATCATAAACCAGTCATTTCCAGCATCATTAACCAGTCATTTCCAGCATCATTAACCAGTCATTTCCAGCATCATAAACCAGTCATTTCCAGCATCATTAACCAGTCATTTCCAGCATCATTAACCAGTCATTTCCAGCATCATAAACCAGTCATTTCCAGCATCATAAACCAGTCATTTCCAGCATCATAAACCAGTCATTTCCAGCATCATTAACCAGTCATTTCCAGCATCATTAACCAGTCATTTCCAGCATCATTAACCAGTCATTTCCAGCATCATAAACCAGTCATTTCCAGCATCATAAACCAGTCATTTCCAGCATCATAAACCAGTCATTTCCAGCATCATAAACCAGTCATTTCCAGCATCATAAACCAGTCATTTCCAGCATCATAAACCAGTCATTTCCAGCATCATAAACCAGTCATTTCCAGCATCATAAACCAGTCATTTCCAGCATCATAAACCAGTCATTTCCAGCATCATTAACCAGTCATTTCCAGCATCATAAACCAGTCATTTCCAGCATCATTAACCAGTCATTTCCAGCATCATTAACCAGTCATTTCCAGCACGTCAGGAAGTGAACATCGTTATCTATAAAAACAAATAAATAATAATTTCATTACAATTTTTCATTATTTATAAATGACACAGAAAAAAATTTATGCTCAGTTTAATACAACCCGAATTCCGGAAAAGTTGGGACATTTTTTTAAATTTGAATAAAATTAAAACTATACGACTTTCAAATCACATGAGCAAATATTTTATTCACAATAGAACATAGATAATATAACAAATGTTTAAACTGAGAAATTTTACACTTTAATCCACTAAATGAGCTCATTTCAAATTTGATGCCTGCTACAGGTCTCAAAATAGTTGGGACGGGGGCAACAAATGGTTGAAAAAGCAATAAATTTAGAAAGGATTCAGGTGGGAGAACATCTATAGCAACTAAGTAAGTTAATTGATATCAGGTCTGTAACATGATTAGCTATAAAAGGGATGTCTTAGAGAGGTAGAGTCTCTCAGAAGTAAAGATGGGCAGAGGCTCTCCAATCTGTGAAAGAGTGCATAAAAAGATTGTGGAACACTTTAAAAACAGTGTTCCTCAACGTCAAATTGCAAAGGCTCTGCAAATCTCATCATCTACAGTGCACAACATCATCAAAAGATTCAGAGAAACTGGAGAAATCTCTGTGCGTAAGGGACAAGGGCGAAGACCTTTATTGGATGCCCGTGGTCTTCGGGCCCTCAGACGACACTGCATCACTCATCGGCATGATTGTGTGAATGACATTACTAAATGGGCCCAGGAATACTTTCAGAAACCACTGTCGGTAAACACAATCCGCCGTGCCATCTCCAGATGCCAACTAAAGCTCTATCATGCAAAAAGGAAGCCATATGTGAACATGGTCCAGAAGCGCCGTCGTGTCCTGTGGGCCAAAGCTCATTTAAAATGGACTATTTCAAAGTGGAAAAGTATTCTGTGGTCAGACGAGTCCAAATTTGACATTCTTGTTGGAAATCACGGACGCCGTGTCCTCCGGACAAAAGAAGAGGCAGACCTTCCATCGTGTTATCAGCGTTCAGTTCAAAAGCCAGCATCTCTGATGGTATGGGGGTGCATAAGTGCATACGGTATGGGCAGCTTGCATGTTTTGGGAGGCACTATGAATGCTGAAAGCTATATAAAGGTTTTAGAGCAACATATGCTCCCCTCCAGACAACGTCTATTTCAGGGAAGGCCTTGTGTTTTTCAACAGGACAATGCAAAACCACATACTGCAGATATTACAACAGCATGGCTTCGTCGTAGAAGAGTCCGGGTTCTGAATTGGCCTTGCCTGCAGTCCAGATCTTTCACCTATAGAGAACATTTGGCGCATCATTAAACGAAAAATGCGTCAAAGGCGACCACGAACACTTCAGCAGCTGGAAACCTATATAAGGCAAGAATGGGACCAAATTCCAACACCAAAACTCCAGACACTCATAAACTCGATGCCCAGACGTCTTCATACTGTTTTGAAAAGAAGAGGAGATGTTACACCATGGTAAACGTGCCCCCGTCCCAACTATTTTGAGACCTGTAGCAGGCATCAAATTTGAAATGAGCTCATTTAGTGGATAAAAGTGTACAATTTCTCCGTTTAAACATTTGTTATGTTATCTATGTTCTATTGTGAATAAAATATTGGCTCATGTGATTTGAAAGTCGTATAGTTTTCATTTTATTCAAATTTAAAAAACGTCCCAACTTTTCCGGAATTCGGGTTGTATTTAATTTTATTTGATATATTTTATTAGAGATTTTAACACTTTAATTTATAATGCATAATACAAGTTATGATTTTTAATGCACCTTGTATGATCTCATAAATAGTTGTAACCACTGTTATAATGCATTATAATACTTAAGAAAATATGATCGATTAAATGCATGACAAGCAACTGTTACGACCTCCCCTGTCTAGGGTAGAGGAGAACAAACTGAAATAAATAAATATGGTAACACTTTACAATAAGGTTCATTAGTTAACTACATTAGTTAACTAATTTAACAATACTTCTATAGAATTTGTTAATCTTTGTTAATGTTAAATTTCACCATTTACTAATACTTTATTAAAATCTTGTTAACATTAGTTAATGCAATGTGAAATAACATGAACAAACAATGAACAGCTGGATTTGTATTAACTAACGTTAACAAAGATTAACAAAAACAGTAACAAATGTATTGCTCATGGTTAGTTCATGTTAGTTAATACATTAACTAATTTTTAATAAATGAACCTTATTGTAAAGTGTTACCATAAATATTTATATAAAGTGCTGCCAGTATTTCTTTGACGTTTAATTAATTCTTTCTCCGGTGTTTTTTTGACTGTCAGTTTCGGTTTTCTGAACAAAGTTGATAAGTTGATAGTTGACGTTATTGATTTCTGGATTTTAATCTATCTTGATTTTTATGATCCAAGTTCTTTCAGTCTATGCTGTTTTCAGTTGAAGTGTGAATAAAACTGAAGATTATTATTATCGCTCCTGTCATCCAATAATTACTTTGTGCTTTGTTACATATGATATGAAACAAAGTCTCAGCTTTCAAATTAAAAAAATATATATATATATACTGTATTAAATAATTTTAGCTTATCTTCATTTTTTAATAAAGAATAAATCTGTCATGAAGGCACATTATTTTTACAACCACCATTTAAATGTTAATATTTCAACAATGAATAGAAGTAGAAATGTAATTAACTTGTGTGCAGTTTAAATATTTATGGATTTGTTTTGTTTTTTTCAGTGTTAATTATTAAATAAATCAGTTTAATTGATTATTAAATCAACTTTTTTGAGCTAAATGAAAACTTTAGTTTCTGTATACATATATTTATTTCTCTGCATCACTAGTTTTTCTCAAAAAATGTAACAATTTCTGAAAAATAAAATTGATATTCACACCATAAATAGCTAAATGGTTTGTTTTCAGTTTTTGTTTAGATCATTAGATTATTTAATAACGTAACATTTTGATGGTAGATCTTCTCATTGTGCATTTGAGAGTTTGGGTTTGGAACAAGAGAAAAAATAAACTAAATATTTCGATTAAAGGCAAAAATAGCTAAAGTTTATTTGAAGGTGTGAAATTATATGACCGTCATGTACAAAACTCAACTTGGACATAAAAAGGCATGTATGTAAAGAAACAGCCACTTATGTTAATGTGCAAGTTGAAAGAAGAGCTAGGCATGACTTTCACGACTTTTTAGTGAATCGCAGCAGATTTATGTTCATTGTTCTTAAGTGGCGAGCGTATGGCATGCGGTGTGTGTGTGTGTGTGTGTCACATGAGTCCGGCTATGTACCCCTGCTACTGTTTACTAGAATCCTGGAGAGAATTGTCCTCATTACAGTATCCATGCCAACAGACACACACACAGGCGCGCACGCACACGTATCTAATGAGCCGTATGAATTAGCCTCTCACAGAGGAAAGACATTGTTTGCGCACTCAGTGCTTGCAGCCGCTGAAGGAGCATCTCTTATTAGTGAGTTTGTTCCCTTATTAGTGTCCCACTGGAGCTGTTGCCTTCAGAGATCTTCCACATGCTAGACACTCTCTTGTCTTTAGACTGTCTGATATGCATGTACTCGTAAATATGATTGTAATATACACTCACCTAAAGGACGTTATTAGTTCAATTTCTCATTAATGCAATTATCTAATCAACCAATCACATGGCAGTTGCTTCAATGCATTTAGGGGTGTGGTCCTGGTCAAAACCACAAGATCCCCTGAACTCTGAAAGGTGATTTAATAAATTTTGAGCGTGGCATGGTTGTTGGTGTCTGAGTATTTCACCATCTGCTCAGTTACTGGGATTTACACACACAACCATTTCTAGGGTTTACAAAGAATGGTGTGAAAAGGGAAAAACATCCAGTATGCGGCAGTCCTGTGGGCGAAATGCCTTGTTGATGCGAGAGGTCAGAGGAGAATGGGCCAACTGATTCAAGCTGATAGAAGAGCAACTTTGACTGAAATAACCACTCGTTACAACCGAGGTATGCAGCAAAGCATTTGTTAAGCCACAACATCCAAAACCTTGAGGCGGATGGGCTACAACAGCAGAAGACCCCACCGGGTACCACTCATCTCCACTACAAATAGGAAAAAGAGGCCATAATTTGCAAGAGGTCACCAAAATTGGACAGTTGAAGACTGGAGAAACGTTGCCTGGTCTGATGAGTCTCGATTTCTGTTGGTAGAGTCAGAGTTTGACGTAATCAGAATGAGAACATGGATCCATCATGCCTTGTTCCCACTGTGCAGGCTGGTGGTGGTGGTGTAATGGTGTGAGGGATGTTTTCTTGGCACACTTCAGGCCCCTTAGTGCCAATTGGGCATCGTTTAAATGCCACGGCCTACCTGAGCATTGTGTCTGACCATGTCCATCCCTTTATGGCCACCATGTCCCCATCCTCTGATGCCTACTTCCAGCAGGATAATGTTCCATGTCACAAAAGCTCCAATCATTTCAAATTGGTTTCTTGAACATGACAATGAGTTGACTGTACTAAAATGGCCGCCACAGTCACCAGATCTCAACCCAATAGAGCATCTTTGGGATGTGGTTGAACGGGAGCTCCGTGCCCTGGATGTGCATCCCACAAATCTCCATCAACTGCAAGATGCTATCCTATCAATATGGGCCAACATTTCTAAAGAATGCTTTCAGCACTTGAAGACGAAAGAGGTTCAAACACCGTATTAGTGTGGTGTTCCTAATAATCTTTTAGGGGAGTGTGTAAAAAAAGATAATCAGGATCAATTTGAACCATACTGAATGTTGTTAGTCAAATTAGGTCAAGAGAATAGTTACATTTCGCTTTAATTTTTAGGGTTATTGGTAATACTTCATAATTGGTAACATTTTTTGATAATTTAAATAATACAAATTAAACATCAGGATGTTAAACACTATGACATTATATAATGATTATAAGTTTAATTATTTTTAATTATTAATTATTATTAATATAGTTTATTAATATATAGTTTAATTATTAATTCGTTTTATATATAATTATTAGTTTAGTTAACCTAGAAAGAAATGTGTTTAAATATGAAGAGTTCAGATGCAAAAGCCTCTAAATGCCATTTGAAATTCTCTTCTAAAATGACAATTTTTATCAAGCTTGTATATTTAAGTTCAGTAATTTCACTTAAATGACAATAGGTAATCTTCATTGCAATTTAAGTGAAATTACTGAACTTAAATATATAAGCTTGAAAAAAAAGATCATTTTAGAAGAAAATTTCAAATGGCACTTAGAGGCTTTTGCATCTGAACTCTTCATATGTTCCTGTTTGGGTTTCCAGTTTTAGTATTTTAATGTGTTTCTAGAAAATACTCTGGCACTTCAACTTCAAGTATAGCTAATTATATAAAAGAAATTGAATGGAATGTAAATAAAGAGCTGAAACTAGTCCTCATTTACTGCACATGATCTGTTGAGCTTTTTGTAATGTTTATAATGTAGTCATTTAAATCTTTACAAACAAAGAAAAAACGGATGTTATTATTACATATAAGCTTGTAAACAATTCAGACTTTGTGTCTGAACATTAGTGTGCACATGCTGAGCATGCATTCAAATACTAATCAGATGTCCAATTGTCCATCAGCCACTGGGCTCAATGTGGAGATGAATACGTGTCTCTACACCGCAGAGGAATAAGTCCAGGCTGTGTTTCCTCATGCTCCAGGCATCTTTAACTGCTTTATGGTGCAACATTGACCCGCTGTCCTTTAAAAGAGCATGTGATTCCTGAAGCAGTTCACTCCGATAATCAATAATGTTAACCACGATCAGTCAGTCTTGTCTGTTTAACGTTCTTGCTCTCTTTACTTGCTTTGATTTCTATTTTTGTGTGTGTGAAATAATGCTCAGATCAAATCTAAAACTTCTAAACCCTCATGTCGACATTATAAACGCATCAAATAAAACATTATAAATGTTAAATCTTAACCATATGAAATAAGTATTGTTTTAACCAGTCTGGCGATTCTCCTCTGACCTCTTAAAGGATTAGTTCACTTTTGAAAAAACTTTTGCTGATAATTTACTCACCCCCATGTCATCCAAGATGTCCACGTCTTTCTTTCTTCAGTCGAAAAGAAATTTAGGTTTTTGATGAAAACATTCCAGGATTTTTCTCCATATAATGGACTTCAATGGGAACCAGACGGTCCAAAAGAGAGTTAATAACAGTTTCAGATGCAGCTTCAAATGTCTTTAAACGACACCAGACGATGAATAAGGGTCTTATCATGCGAAACTTATTTTAAATTATTTTATTATTTATTATTTCAATTATTTTGAAATAATAAAATTATTTTTATTTCAAAACTTATTCCAAAAATGTAACTTTTCTAAGGACAAATGCTAGCCTTGCTCTACTCTGCCGGAAGTACAGAATCAAAATCGTCCGACATCGTTGTTTTACCTTTTAATTCCTTTTTTGTAAACGGCGTTTGAGTTAGTTTTCACGTTCAACCTATGCGTTCAACTTGTAAACACTCTGACTCTGTACTTCCGGCTACGTCGCCCGTGACCTTTTGAACGTAATTACGTATTCCGTGACGTTACAAACGCGCCTCACAGATTGGAGAAAGGCTAGCATTTGTCCTTAGAAAAGTTACATTTTTGGAATAAGTTTTAAAAATAACCGATCGTTTCGCATGATAAGACCCTTATTCATCGTCTGGTGTCGTTTAAAGACATTTGAAGCTGCATCTGAAACTGTTATTAACTGTCGTTTGGACCTCCGACCGTCTGGTTCCCATTGAAGTCCATTATATGGAGAAAAATCCTGGAATGTTTTCATCAAAAACCTTAATTTCTTTTCGACTGAGGAAAGAAAGACATGGACATCTTGGATGACGTGGGTGTGAGTAAAGTGAACTACTTTAACATGTTGATGCCATGTTGATCATGTTTTGATTTACGTTTCAAGTATGACCCAGTAGGCTTTATAAGGTTTAGATGGTCGGCAGTGACGTTATTAACTGTATAGTGCGAGATGTTGAATCCATGTAACCTGTGTGTGTTTGTCTTTGCAGAATCTGGCAGAAGCCGAGTATTCGGTGGCGCTGTTCATGTACATGCGTTTGCTGGGATATCCTGCCGAACGCATCAGTATACTGACCACCTACAACGGCCAGAAGCATCTGATACGAGACGTCATCAACCAGAGATGTGCCAACAACTCGTTCTTCGGACAGCCCAATAAAGTAAGACCAAGTGATATGAGGATTTCCTGACGTGACATCCGTGTGTATTTCACCTTCAAGAGCGTCATACGGGTGGCCGAGTGAACTGCAGTGGCAATTTGATTAATGTGTCCTGTGCTCTAAATGCCCTTTTTTCTGCCCTGTATTCACTATTTTCCCTCTTTTGCAGCAGTGGACAGGTTTGCTTTAGCTTGTTGTTGATTGTGATTGGCAGACAGACTCACTAAAGCGTGTCCTTCTGGCTGGTGTTTGGTCGAAGTGTTGCTAACAGTCTGTCAGAATTGTACAACAGTGCAAATCGATCCTGCAGTGGTTTCTATCAGCCGTTTCATTAAAGACACGAGTGAGCACAAACCAAATAAATAAACCGATGCCGTTTGCCCAGACGTTTCGTTTATGAGCTTTCAAGACCGCAAAACAAGAATCTCATTGCCTTTGGGAGACATAATGGAAAATTCAATTTAAAGGAACGTCATCATTTACTCACCCGTGTGACCTAATGTGGAACACGAACGGTGAGATTTAAAGGCACAAAATATCCCCAAAATATTTGTTCAGATGTGTGCTTTATAGGGCTGGGTATTGACACAAATTTCACGATTCAATTCAATTTCGATTCACAAGCTTGCAATTCGATTCGATTTCGATTCAATATTGATTATTTTGGATATCAGTTACAATAAATGGCTAACTAATGCTGTAAACTATGGGAGTCTAGTTGTAGCCTATAGACTTCATTAGCCTAATATGAAGGTAATAATGAACTGTTTTGTAGCTATACAAACACTTAAATTACACTTATTTATTTTTATAATAAGTAGATTATATGAAATACAAACATTTAAATGGTGGCTGTCATAAAAACTTGCCAGATTTATTCAAATATGCATTAAATATTGAAGAACATTAAGATTATAATGCATATGTAATATGGTGTATATATTTACCAAAATGCTCCTCTGTGGAGTTATTTAATTTTTTTCTAGCTGACTAACGAGTGGGTTTTCTGAGGTAAATATGACGATACATTGATTACAAGCTGTTTAACTGACGTCTTTCCACGGTTGAAACGCTGATTGAGCGAATCAATGTGACATGATAGGGATTTGGATAAGTTGTACTCTATCTTTAACACACTTTCAGATGCTCATTCATGTTTATTTGGCGCTGTGACTGGTATTATTAAGCCGGAAGAGAGATCAGCACTGCTGCTTCTCTTGAGCTGCGCCAGAGCGATCTCACGCCACAGCGCCAAAACGCTATTTATGTTTTTGAATTTCTAAAGAAAATGGACGTAATTTAAAAATTGAGACTTTGTTTCATATCAATAGTAACAAAGGACAAAGATTATTGTGAGTTTTTGGATGCTTTGGAATATACCCAAGTTTGGTCTTCTTTTAAAGAAAACACTCAGTAGAATATTGCTGAAGTGAAAACACTTCAAAAAATGAAAGTATGAAAAAGTTATGAAAGTTTAAATTTACAGTAAATCAAATATACTGTACTATATATTTTTTTATTTTATTTAAAATATATATATTTTACTAAATATTTTTTACTCTAAAATTTCTATAATATTAAAGCCATAAATCTTATCAAATTATGTTCCAAATTTGAAGTTGATATCACAAAAATTGAAGTTCCCATGAGATTTTGTTTAGGCGTAGTACCATAAATAGCCACCGGGTGCCATTGAGTTCCATTGAATTTAGTTGTATACATTCTGCCTTAACAAATTAATACATTTCTGTCCAAATATCAATTCTGTCACAAACCTTGAGACTCAAACCTTTCTGAAAATATTTGTTTTGTCAAGATTAGAAAAGGTTTTTTATCATAAATTATGAAATATAATGATGCCCAAAAGGGGAGGAGCCTGATGAAATAAGTACTGTTTCTATGGTAACGCAACGTTCAATTATAAAACAGTTTTCACACGATGAATTCTGAGTTTGTAAGCTTTCAAATGATACCTAATTTATGATAACTACTAAAATATGTGATATAATAAAAAAGGCGATAAAAAATAATATTATATTTTAGAGGATAATAAATATAAATATTATAATTTTTAGAGGTTAATATTATACTATAATTTTTTATTTTTTATTGAAAAATACTAGATTATATGTTTTATTATGAACTTTTAGCATAAAAACAGAAGTTTGAATGATTAAAAGTGGGTGCATCAACTTTTTGTGACAAAGGTCAGACCTCCTGTTATGATGCAGATTTTTTGAGGTGCACTCTTGTCATAAATTCATCAATTACTCTTCCTACATAATTTGTAACACAAAACAGGGGTAGAATATCTATTTAGAAGTCTTAGACCTTTCCAGTGATATATAATTTGTCATAATTAGATTAGGATTTAATAGAAATATAGTCAAGTAAAGTTAGGCGTCCCGGTACTGGGACGTTGACAGTTAAGGGGATAAACCACTGTTTAAAAAACCAAAACAAAAAAGCAATTTTAGCTTTCTAAACAAAAGCCGAGGCGTCAAAACCGCTGGAAAACCGAACCGCCAGTTTTGTGTTTCGTTTCATGATGATAGCACGTGTGAGAAGGACTGTGTTTGCACGCAGGGGTTAACTGGACGCTCCGGGTGTGGATGAGATCAGCCCAGTCCCTCATTAGCATTAAACATTTCTTCAGTACAGAAATGGGCCACTCTCACTTGAGTATGCACATCATGCATTGAGCGGGCAGAGAGCACGTGTCCACATTTCCAGAGACTCGCTGATAAATTTCACATTGGACACCATCTGCTGAGAGGCAGCGCTCGAGCAACCGAGCAGCTCAGAATTATAATGAGACACCAGCCTAATTTAACACTCAGCCACAGGAAATGAAACACAACACTTGTCACTGCGATCAGATGTCATGACCAGACCCAGACTCGGCTCACATCTCAACTCTGCATAATTTTGAGTTTATTTCTCTATATAAATACATTTGTCTTGACTTGATGTTTCCAACTTTAAAGGGGACATATCATGCAAAATCCACTTTTTTAGCCCTTAAATGCATTTTGTTGTATATTTGGAGTGTTTATAAGTACAGAAAAGATGAAATTATTCCTTTCAGGTGATTCGTTTATATCTTTATGTTCTGTTTTGGTCATATTTTTCAGATTTTTCTGTTCTCTATGACGTTTTTTGAACTATAACCTCGCCGTATTTGCAGCGGAACTGCCAAATAAGGACATCGACTACCGGTCCAACACTTCAAACAATCCGCCATTATTATTTCCTGAAGAGGGCAGCACTAAGACGCTTTTACACCATATATTGTAGAAATAGAACACTTTATACACAAATGTCAAAAAAGTTACTCGAATCAATGACTGGTATTAATAAAGATCCATTCTTACAGATCATTAACTAAAAAAAGTTGGTTAAGTGTTTAGTTACTTTTTAAAGTACCGGCAGTTTAGTTCGCTAGAATCGCTCCCGGTTAGTCTCTGTCTATCCCGGGGTTTACCGCAGGCCGTATCCGGATCTGATGAAGGACCTGAGCCTGCACATGACGACAACGCAGTCCTGAAGTGTCACTAGTCTGCCCCCTGTGAAGGCCTTCCTCACTTTACCTCGGCACAGATAAAACGTTTCATTTCGTTTCATTTATTTATTTAGTTCAACAGGGACAATGTCCAAAAAGCATTAATTAAAGATGCTTTGCACCAGATTTAGCTTAAGCTAGTTTCCATCTGCAGTCCCTGAGCAGGTGAATTACAATACAAAATATACAATATAAAATGTAATAATTAGTCACTCAAATACAGCTATCAATTAATTCATTCATCCATTCTCCATTTCAACCGTCAGTCCAGCTAAATGAATACCAAGAATACTACAATAAAGTCATATTTACATACACAATCATCTATGCTGGCAAAACTGGTTGTTCAATAGCAAAATTGTTTTTTCATCATTGTCAAATTTATTCCAGTTCACATGGATCCGCGGAAACGACTATAAATGCTGTATTACGCTGTAATTTGGCGATGACACTTCGTAAAGAAAGAACACACCCCTGTGCACATACATATTCAAACGCGCATAACCTATATAGACTTAAACTCGTAATATCATACCTGCCAACATGTACGCATTTTGCGTAGTGGACACGCATTTTGACCTCAAAGTACGCTGGTACGATTGGTCATGTGACAGGACTCCTGTCTATTCATTGTTAACTGTTTCTATAAATATATTTGGATTGGCTAAAGTTTATTCAGCTAATGCATGTCCTGTTTATAATGTGTAGCCTAATGTTCAAATGCAACGAAAGCACAAATAAAATCCCTTTTCCCTGTAGGATTTAATATTATATTTGGATATTGGAAAAATCAATTAAGTAGCCAATTTAAAATAAATAACATGTACACGTTTTTTTACTGGTATCTAGGTTTTTTTTAAATTATTTTAGACTAATTGACCAGCACAGATTATATGCAATACAATACTAATCAATCATGAATAAAGAAATGGAGTTGAGTTGGATTGAAACTTTGTACTTTCACTGTTGCATTGCAGTGCAAGTTAAATTTAGTATTTGCGCCGCCACATAAAAGTACTCATAAAATTTCTTCTTGGTTGGCAGGTATGTAATATGCATGTGCACGGCGTCACCGTTTTCATGGTTTCGCATTTTTTTAAGTTTACACGGAGATAACGTTTATTAAAAACTTGCACCTTAGAAGCTATTTCAAAGTTTTTTGTTCTCGAGCACCAAACACTGTCGTCAGCAAATGAACGGCCAGAACACACATTAAAAGTTTTCTGTTTTCTGTTGCAAGCCGCCTCTAAGTTAATAACTTATGATCTTTACAACCCAAGTGAATCAATCAAAATCTAACTTTAGCTGGATTATAACTTTAATTCTAGATCTGCTGTGAAGCCCAAACTATCTCTGTTACTGTAATCTCCTATTATCACTGTAAATCTGCTGTGAAACGATCTATATTGTTAAAAGCGCTGTGTAAATGAAGGTGACTTGGCTTGAACAGCACAAACAGCGCTGGTTTATTTAGACCGGATATAGTCACGTAGCCGACACATAGCAGTGTTATGGCCGTGTTTGTTCCTCAAGTCTGTGCAAACACACGGCTGGCCGGCTCCAGAACGCCAACCACTCTTGTGGAAACAGGGTATCAGATGTGTGTGTGAGAGTTTCCATCTGATTTGCACTGTGAACAGTGCATGACTTCAGGAATCTGGTCTCAGTGTGCAAACCTTCATTAAGTGCCGGTCTTGACGTCTGCCAACCAGGACATCGTCTTCAGTTCACATAAACCCTCATTAAACTGGAGACAGACACTGAGATGACCTGATTTTAAAACTATGATGTGTTGTAGGTGACAACGGTGGACCGGTTTCAGGGTCAACAGAACGATTACATCATTCTCTCACTGGTGCGCACTAAAGCCGTAGGACATTTGAGGTGAGCGCTTCCTCCAACTATTTAATGCATGTTTAAAGGAACAATGAATTGCTTTAAAATGACACAAATTACTTAATGTTTTAAGGCAGACAAAAACATTGTTTTGTTTTTTTTTTCACTGGTCAATTTTGAGATTTTGGGATATTTGTCTTCAATAACATGTCTTCTTTCAGACTTGTGGTGAAAAAAGTCCGAAATACACATTTGGGTCTTTATTTTACTACACTTTGTATTTTACTACACTTGTAGATTTCTCATAAATTCTTCAAAAGTTGTCGTTATAAATCATCCTGCTGCTCAGCGATCGCGATCTGTCATCACACACACCGTTAGAAAGCTCTCTTTCTCCTGTACAACGCTGTCGGATCCAAATATGGCCATTTCCTTTTTATCAGCAACCAATCGTGAAAGTAAAAGGGGGATTTAACTCTAAATGCGCGATCTCATTGGCTGATGCAAATTCTTTAAAGCCAGTTTTCTTAAAATGACTTTTCTCTCAAACCCCAAGTCCGAAATCTCCACTTCAGTAGCACCTATATACACCAAGCTTTCCAGTCTTGTACCTAGTTATATTATGAAGACATTTACAGAGGGGGTTGTAAATATATTATTCCTAGCCTGATTTATATAACATTTAATTCCAAAAAACATGACAAAAATCATTTTTTTAAGGCAATGTATACTCTGATTTACAGGATAACAAAAGTAGATATCCATAAATCCCTCTGTAATTGTTTTCTCATCTAATATGTGAATTTTGAACCTGGCTTTATCCAATACTCAGATTTCGTTTTTTAAAATACATGCAAATTACTGCATATTTAATTAGATAATGCATCATTTGCATATTTAAACATTAAATTACAGAAAACTTGTAATATAGTTTTTTCACATCTTAATGTAGGCATTCAACTGGGAAAGTTTCATGGTGATATCTGCTAGTTAAAAAAATACCCTATTCACCTGTAGTGTCTCGCCTTAAAGAAATGTCTTCTGCTGAGCACAAAGAAAGATATTTTGAAGAATGCAAGTAACCAGTTAACTGGACCCATTGACTTCCATAGTATTTTTTTTTTTCCTAATATGGACGTCAATGGGTTGAGTTAACAGTTTGGTTGCTGACATTTTTCAAAATACCTTCCTTTGGGTTCAGCAGAAGAAAAAAATTAAGACAAATTTGAAACAACTTGAGAGTGAGTATATGATCACAATTTTAATTTTGAAGTGAACGATCTCTTTAACCCTTTCACGTGTACGATCACACCGGTGTGATTAGAACGGTCGGTGCATCATGTGATCAACTGCTAAATTCAAACGTGCTTTGGCGCCGAGGACGGAGTCCTGTTTACAGTCTATCGTCCTGTCATATCACAACTATTGAGTGTTTTTAACCACATGATGTTTATTTTAGGTTTCAGACATTTAAATACACATAAGTACAAGTAAAACAATGATTTTGAGTTTGTAAAATACACACAGATGTCTATGGAAGCGGTAATAATAATCCTTTCAATTATAATAAGACGACATGTTTTATTCATATCAGATACACATTGTGTAAGTAGCTTAACATTTGACCCTATTCCTCTCCCAGTTCACCGGCCACATACTTTCATGTATTTCGTGAGAAGTGGAGGAATTGACGTGTTGTAAATCCAACAGATCCGATTCTCTGAACTAGAGCCAGACCGATATTATCGGCCGGCATTTTCCAAACTATCGGTATCGGCAGTTATAATGGCCGATAAATGAATATTTCAAAAATAAAATAAAAACGGACGAAACACGCTTGAACCATGTCATGAGTGTTGGAGTTGTAAAGTTTGTCCATTAGAGGGCACTCTACACCGTCCCTGTTGGCAACACTCGTTGAGTTAGTCACGAGACGTACAGTACATTGCTTGAATAACAATTAAAAGAACATCCCCATCAGTTCTCTAAACTCAAATAAGCATGACAAAATTTGTGACTAATCATCTCCAGTTTAAAATAAATAAATAAATAAAATATCGGCCGATATATCGGATTTTAAAACCCAAAAATATTTGTATGGGTATCGGTCTTTAAAATCCTTTATCAGTCGGGCTCTACTCTGAACTGTATAACAAACTACAATGGTGCCGCCCATTGTGCATACAGCTCAACTGACGCGATCGTTAAAAAGATGTTTAAACAACAAAACCCATCCACATGCACATATTTGACAATCGGAATATCAGTGTTTCATGCTATAGCTAATACATTTGTGAATATTTTTAATGAAAAGGAAAAATGACATCATTCATTCAGCGCTGTGTTGTGGTTGGCTGCGCTGTGACACGTGACAAGCAATGACGCGTCACCATGGAAACATTAAAGTGACAAGTTCAAAATAACCGTCGCCTTGAAAAACTCGCGCTGGGGGGGGTCAGTTAAAACATTTTAAACTTGTGTTTGAAAGGGTTAAATGTTGTTGTAATGTTACAAAAAATCCAATTCAAAATATGAAGAAAAACAGCAGTAGTATGCAGTGACCCTGAAGACTGATGGCCTTATCTGGGAGTTGACGGATGTTCCTCTCTCTCTGCAGAGACGTGCGGCGTCTGGTCGTGGCCATGTCTCGTGCCAGACTCGGCCTCTACATATTCGCTCGAGTGTCTCTGTTCCAGAACTGCTATGAGCTGACGCCAGCCTTCAGCCAGCTGACCTCGCGACCCCTGCAGCTGCACATCCGGCCCCAGGAATACTACAGCTCTGTGAGGACAGACACACACACACACACACACACAGCTCTCCTGAACGCTCGGCTCTTGGATTGAGTTTTGGGGAATATTATCGGTTCCAATAAATGAGTGCTTTACCTCTTTGTTAACTTTGTAAGCCATGAGCCAAACACACACCTGTGAGTTACAGACATGTATTTGATTCAAAAAAAACTATTATTTGGATTTTGATCAAATGATAAAAGTAGAAAACTGTGTACTTAAAGGAGTAGTTCACTTTAAAAAAAACTTTTGCTGATAATTTACTCACCCTCATGTCATCCAAGATGTCCATGTCTTTCTTTCTTCAGTCGAAAAGAAATGAAGGTTTTTGATGAAAACATTCCAGGATTTTTCTCCATATAATGGACTTCAATGGGGACCAAACGATTCAAGGTCCAAATTAGAGTTTCAGTGCAAACTGTTCAAAGGGCTTTAAACGACTCCAGACGATGAATAAGGGTCTTATCATGCGAAACGATCGCTCATTTAATAAATAAATATATCTAAAGTTTAAGTTTTATAAGCTCAAATGGTCGCCTTGCTCTGTTCTGTGATGCGCGTTCGTGACTCTCCTGTTCGAAGTCATTCATCAAAATGAACAAATCTTTTCCCGAGTCAACTCATTCATTTCGTTCGTTTAGTGAACCAAATGACACGAAAAAAGATGTGTTCATTTAGATGAACGAGTTCGAACAGGAGAGTCACAAACGCGCATCACAGAACAGAGCAAGGCGACCATTTGAGCTTATAAAACTTAAACTTTAGTATTTATTTATTAAATGAGCGATCGATTCGCTTGATGAGACCCTTATTCATCGCCTGGAATCGTTTAAAGCCCTTTGAACAGTTTGCACTGAAACTCTCTTTTGGACCTTGAACCGTTTGGTTCCCATTGAAGTCCATTATATGGAGAAAAATCCTGGAATTTTTCATCAAAAACCTTAATTTCTTTTCGACTGAAGAAAGAAAGACATGGACATCTTGGATGACATGGGGGTGAGTAAATTATCAGCAAAAGTTTTTTTAAAAGTGAACTACTCCTTTAACTGCTTTAGTGCGGGAATGAAGCATTGCAAATGACATAATCAAATTAAAAACAATGTGGAAAAATAAAACTCTTCGTCTGAGTTTTAACAAGCGAATGCATGTTTGCTTAGTCAGAACTATAGAGGCGTCACATCCAGATATATGTGAGGTTCCGGATCGAAGCAGAAAGGTTTGTTTTGTACTGTGCACTGAATAATCATACGTATGCCACTCAGTGGCTGTGTGAACAGTGTGATTGCGTCTGATTTTCACTCTTTCTATCGTCACATTTATGTCACTAGGTTTGAATTATACCAGTCAGTTTTCTGTCTCTCAGGAAAAAAATATATATATATATGTGTTGGTGGATTGTTTGTAATTTCAGCCTTGTGACTTTCTCTCTCTCTCGTTTCCATCTAGACGGAGGAGCGTTCCTCTCAGCCTGATCAGGTGATCAAGGATATGCCAGAGATGGCTAACCTGGTTTATAACTTGTACATGCACATGATTCAGAGCACGCAGCAGCACAGACAAGTAAGTGTGCTCGAACTTGCTGAGACATTTCTCATGTGGAAAACAGACGCCTGACGCTTGCATGAATAGTTTTTAAGACACAACTGACTTGTTATTTGTTGGTAAGACTTTACATAAGGTTTATTAGTTAACATGAACTGAGAATGAACAATACTTCTACAGCATTTATTCATCTTTTGACTATGTATGCTACTAATATTCATGTTAGGTGATTAACCTTATTGTAAAGTGTTGCCTAGTTGTTTTCTGACTTGCACATGATGATAAATGATCAATCCTGTTATCTAAGTTATTGAGAAATAAGCTTATTTGAAACTAAATCACACAATCAGTGTTTTATACTGTAATCGCACCAGTTTTGGTTACTATAGCAAAAACTGCAATAGAAAATAAAGCAGCTCACATAACATTAGTTTGACCTTTCAACAGCATTAGTAACTGACCAAGGTCCAAGACCAAGTCCTATCTATTTGAACGGGGGAAATCGTGAAATCTCGAAAACTGCTTGCCGAACTCACAATTAAATAACACGTTTCTAATCAGCAACACAATCTGACAGGATCTGTCTCATAAATACTGTTTCTCATGCTTGAATCGCTCTACAAAAAGCTTCTTTTTCAGGCTAGCCCAGCCAATGCGCATGTCAAATAACTAACAAATGCACACATGATCATTTATTAGGTTTTTCATGTTACAAAACTGCCTATGTTCTATAAACTTCTATTTGCCTAAACTTTTTATTTAACTTTAGCTTTACAGCTATTTCACAGTTTAGTTTGTTACCAATTGACATAGATTTGGTTTCTAAAGACCGTTGCTACATAAACATGTAGTTTCTTCCAATAACACAATTTCCTGAATCAATGTCAACATCTGTTTCCACCATACTCCAGTGAATCGTGAACAGTAAGATTAAGAGCATGTAATAAATAAAATTGTATTTCTTGACTAATGCTCCTGCTGACCTCCAACCAGTAAATGTCACACAAAACCATAATTCGGATTGAGGTAATTTTATGAATCGCTAATAAAAATTCACCGTATTAGGACAAAACAAAACGGCCTCTTATAGTGGACGACAGAATTTGTCATATTAAGTCAAAGAGTTGCTGAAAATGTCAGATGTATTGATAATGTTTGTGAGGCGGCCAAATGCTCTAATGGATATACTTCAAACGAACTTCGTTTTAGTCTGATTTTGTTCGTAATGACGTCACACCGGATTTGGCTTGGAGTTTGTTTCGGGAGTTCGAATCCGCTTTCGGAAGAGTTTGCTCTCGCTGATAAACACCTTTCTTCAGTTTTTGACATTAGCTGCGTTTCCATTACCCTTCAATTTGCGCAAATTGAAATTGCGAAATGAAAATACGCTCAATGGAAACACGTCAATTTCGCAAAAACTCCCGTTTATCGCAAAAAAGTTTTTACGCTCGCATGAGGAGGTTTTTCAGGCATTTCGAAAAAGGATTTTTTTTTTTCGCAAAACTGCAATGGAAAGGGATTTTGCGCATTTACAGTCACCTGACTTGGAAGACCGAATGTGTTTTAGGTCCGTGTCCGCAACTAATAATAATATATCATTAGCCTATTATAACATTTATTAGGCTACATATTAGGGGTGGGAATCTCTAGGCACCTCACGATTCGATTACGATTCAGAGGGCTTGCGATTCAATGCTAAATCGATTATCTGAATCTTTTTTTGTGTGTGTGTGACTAAATACTTTGCAATGTTAATAAAATATATTGTACATTAATTCTTCATGGGTCATTACTTTGTACTTTTAAAGCAAAGAACCAACAGGAAAATAAATGTGTGCCTGAACTAGCAGCATACTTATATATTTTATATTTTCCGAAATATTTTAGTTTTATTCTACAAAGCTTACAACTAGTGTGGCTCTTGTCCAGCTCCTTTCCAGCTTTCTTTCTTCTGTTGAAAATAAAAGTTATTTTGAATAATGTGGTAACCGAACAGTTGCTGTTTGGTTACCCACATTCAACAACAAAAAAAATATTCTTTTGTGTTCAGCACAAGAAAGAAATTAATACAGGTAGAGTGAGTAAATAATAAAAGATTTGTTTTGTTTTTTGTTTTTTGTGAACTATCCACAAAAGGACGAGCGGCAGTACTATTTACTCCTGTCGCTTTTAGACCAGCACGCGACGCATATTATACCAGATTTTCCCTCAGATGTTAGCTTTCACTTTAGAAGACAATATCATAGCCAATTCTGTTTATTTACACATTGTGTGTATTTAACAGTATTAGCATTATAAGACTCGAAAGAGAACTTAGTCCAGTATTCAGGCGCTGTTTGACAGGCTTGTGCCTGTGAGCGTCGGGGGTATGCGCTCAGGAAAGCGCACGTTAGAACAGCGCATCAGCGCGTGAATTAAATGTGTAACCGACAAGGCTTATGCAAATAATGAACTTTTGTGAATTGCAGTGTCCCGTAACGTTACCTATTCATTAACGTGTGATGTGTAGGCTACGTCGCGTTGTTCAGTAGAGACAGAGTTGCCTGAACTGAACTGATGGAATGCACTGTTACACGATACTGTGATATTTATTCAAAAGCAGATTGTGGAGGCATTTAATCGTCCACGGTCAAAAATCATGATATCGCACACCCCTCCACACGTCAGCTTTTAACGAGGATTCGGCGCTCAGTCATCGCGTCTGTCTCTGTTATGTGCTTCTACGCTTCAGAGTTCCGTCTTTCGTCTTCCGCCGTCAATATTACGATATTATACATTTATATATATTATAAATATATATATAATTTTTTTTTTTTTGAAAATCGATTTTTGACATTTGTGAATCGATTCAGAATCATCCACCTCCGCATCACGATGCATCTAAGAATCGATTTTTTTCTCCCACCCCTACTACATATGTATATGAAAAGTCGTTGAGATGTATATAGCGCAGGCAGCATTAGTGTGGTCAAACTAAAATGTTGGTGTTCAACTTTGCGTTTTAAAAATACAACAGTTCATTTTTCGTTTTGCAACGAGCGTTTGGACATAATACGAGACAGAGTTCTGTATTAAATTCATTAAAAAAAAAGAATATCAAGACATCGAAGCAGAAATAAGGGAGAAACACCAGGAACTCCGTGTCTTTCCCTGCCTTTAATGCTTGGATAACACACCACGTCTCCTTCCATTAATAATAATAACAATAATGTCTAGTGCGGTGCATGGCTGTGAAATAGGTTATAAACCTACCAACGTCCGTTGCTATGATTTTTGGAATGACTTATCGCGAGAGGAAAAAAAAGACATTTTAGTCGTATAACATCGGTTAATGGAAACACCGTCATTTCCCAATAGTTTGGAAAATATTGCAAAAGTTTTGCGCAAATCTGTAATGGAAACGCACCTATTGATGCAATCAGTGTCTTCTCAGGTTCATGTCTTCTGCTCAGTCTGTCGAGTAAAAATATGAACATAATTTAAGCCGAATATATGCAAACATATCCGCATGCCTGTGATCAGATGCTTTTCTCACCACTGTCATTTATCTACACACTCGCTGGATCTTTCCTGTTTCTGCAGCAACACATTCTGGATCCTCCTCGTCAGGCGCAGAAGTCCGAGCCGCCCGTGAAGAGCGATGAAGAGCGTCCTGAGACTGTCCCTGAGGAAGAGGAGGAGCAGGCGAAGGCCGAGGGCCGCACGGATGAGGAAGAGCACGCTAAGATGCCCGAACACCCGGGTCGAGACAGCGACAGCGGGGACAGTGACGAGGACCAGGAGGCCTAGAGGGCTTTTCTGATGGTTTGGAGGAATGATTGTGGAAATGAGCATTGAGCTTTTGTAAGAGGACTTTTTTAATAAAATGGAATTAAAACTCATTTTTCTTACACACCGTCTATTTCCTTTACTATAAATCTGATTGTGTTTTATCCCAGTGGCCAGTTTTCCATTAGACACCGTCATTTTACGATCAATGATATGCTCGTTTTAATATTTTTTTGAATTAGAGTTTGTCGTATTTTCTGTTTTCATTCAAAGTTTAGTTTTAGATTAAGTTTTGGTACTTCAAAATAAACTAAACAAGAAATATTTTGTTTTCATTTAAAGTTTTTGCAATTTTTATTATTTTTGAATGTCTCGTTTTTCATTTTTAGTTTATTTTAGTATTTAACTAAACATTTTTTATTTTGGTTTAAAGTACTTAATTAAAAACTAAAAATGGAAGATTAAACTGTAGACATGACAAAACATGAAATCACTTTAAACTTTAAATAAAACATTTATTATTTTTGTTTTGTTTAAGTTGAAGTACTAAAATAACTGAAAAATAAAAATAAAAACTAAGAAAAGGGACAAAAACAAAGAAAAATCACTAACTTCAAACCAAAATATTTGGTTTGTCATTTTTATTATTATTTTTAAATGTCTGGATAGTTTTTTTTGTTTGTTTTTTTTTTGTTTTTTTCAGATTTGTTTCATTTGTTATATATTTAGTATCTGTAGTTCTGAAGTTTTATTTTAGTCCTTTAAAAACTAAATTACAAAAGTTTAAACAAAAATTTTTCGTTTAGTTTAAGTACGAAACTAAAACTTAAACATACTAAAAATTAGAGCCCGACCGATGTGGATTTTTGGGTGCTGATGCCGATACCGATATAAGGGAGTAAAACACGATATATCGGCCGATATTATTTATGTGTATATTGATACAGTATAAATATTATTTATATGTATTATAGTACCATTCAAAAGTTTGGACACTTTCCTATTGGTGTGTACAAACTTTTGATGGGTACTCTATATAGTAGAATACACAGTATAAACAGAAAAATATATAAACATTTAGCAATGATCACTCAAATGTGGTGATCAAACTCTTGCGCGACAAAGATGTAATGGAGGCAGGGTGAATGAGATAATGAGAACGAGCATTTGAGCTGTAACCAAACTAGTTTGCATTGCATGTTATATCATATTCTAAATACTGTTGCATAATCTTCACTAACGACTTTGTCTTTTAATTTAGTCACATTATATAAAACATAACTTATCAATAAATATATCAGTGTCACTGACAAAACCTTATCTTCTATTTTAGTCTTAATTCCTCTAATCTCTAGTGGAGGAAGAACTTCACTAAAGTAAAATGAATAATATAATAATGAACGTTTTTAATAATAGTACTTTTATAGGCTACTATTTTAAATAAGTAGTAGCCTTACGTGAATCACCGCACCCGCATTTTTTAAAATATTAATTTATCGGCAATTTTAAATGCTGATACCGATTTTAAAAAAAAATGAAAATGTCTAATATCGGCCGGACTCTACTAAAAAAACAAAACAAATATGAAATAAAACTGAAAAATACGAAAGTATTAATATCAAATTAAACAAAACAACTGATAAAAATATTAAATAAAAAACTAAATTACAAAAGTTTAAACAAAGATATTTCGCTTAGTTTACATTTTTTTTTGTTTACGTTTATTTTGTCTAGTTTTACCTTTGTTTTAGTTTGGCTTGACTTATTTTAGTACTTTTTGAAGTTTTTTATATATATTTGATTTTATTTCAGTTAATGTTTATTTCAAATAAAGGACACTTTTTTATGGTTTTATTTGGCACTGATACGCCTGTGTTGTGAAGGAGGAACTCGAGCACAGGTCTGAGTGTGGATCACATGAATGTGTGTGTGTGTGTGTGTTGTGTAACTGGTGAAAGAGTCCATTCTCAGGGCGAGTGTGTGGCGGGGACTTGAGCGCTGCTCCATCAGGGTCTCTGGCGTCTGCGACGGGAACCGGTCTGGCTGCTGTGGGAGTCCAGGAAACATTAACAGAGCTTTCAACCACCATTTCTCTACGCAACTCAAGACACTCCCAGTAAGTTCTTTCATTTTAAAGCGTTCAAGACTAGCAGTTCTTGGTCAGCAGCACAACAGGGTGAGCCAAGTCCAACTTTAAGTGCAGATTTGAAATGTTTTCTATGTCCTGTGTTTCATCAGTTTAAAACGAAAGCACATGAGAGAAAAGCATGAGACTGATGTGTGATTTCCTTATTGAAACTAGACTGCACACTGATCACATGCTTTCAGATTTGCTTTCTTAAATAGTTTTACTTTTACTTTAAATGTTTGTTCACATCATTTGTTAACATCGTTTTAGTGCGTAAAAGTCAATATAAAATTATTTTACAATTATTATTAAACCAATTTAATATTTGTTTCCAAACCAAACCTTTTCTCTTAAATCTGTGGTTCCACAAAAAACCTTTAATATCCATGGAACAATTTCCATCTTTATAATGAAAAGAATATGGGTTTGTTGAGTGTATATTATTACTGTTTTACTGTTTTGAAAAGTTTTTTGGGGAAGCCAAACTGTTTTTTTCTGTGCCATTGCTGTGAAAACCACTTTTTGTATCCTTTACATCTCACTAGCATGATTACTATCAGTTATATATCAAGATGAGGGGAGTGGGGTAAAATGTGCCACTTTTCATCATGTCATTAAGGAAAAGTGAAATCACATGGAGAAGCTGATGCGCCTCATTATACTGTTAATAAACCGAAAGAGTCTCAGTGTTTGCGGCACATTCATCACATTTTTAATAATCAGATGAAATACAGATTTATTGAGTGTATCGATGTACTGCACTGCTAGATTTTCATTGTTGTTGTTTTTTAATGAATGTAAATAAAATGTTCTTTTCACAACAAACTAAGAAAATACTGGAAACACAATGAAATAAGGATTAACTTTAACACGACCTAACATTGATCAAAACTTCTGCACAGTGTTAAACTAATGTTAATGTCAACATTTACTAATACATTTTTAAAAAGCATTAGATAAAAGTTTTGGTAGTATACTGTTCTTTAAAAGCTGCAGAAGTTGAGATCCTTTCATCTAAACTGGTTCTATCACTGTAAAAAATATTTTTGAATATTTGTAATCACAACATTTTTTATGAAAAAAATCAACTTAAATAATTGATGTAGTTCATATAACATAATATTTTGAGTTTCTGATGATTAAATCAATCTCCATTGTATTAACTCAATTTTTTTCAAAGAACTTAACATTTTAAGGTAACCAGGTTACTTCATTTTTTACGTTAAACCAACAATATATATTTTTTTTTTTACAGTGTAGTAGAGAACGTTTTTATTGATAGGAGAACCATTGTGGAACTCCAGCAAAACACATGCAGTTTTGTTTTTAACCGCTAGAAAGCCAAACGTTACACAGACTTTAACTGTGACTACGTTTACATGCAGCCAATAACCCGTTCAAAACCGGGATATTAGCAATAACCCGGTTGCGAACGGCCATGTAAATACAGGCAAAAACCTGAATATGCTCAAATAATATTATTGTATAGCCTAGTATTTATTTTACTGTCTATATAGTAGCCTACAGCGCGCAAGGTTTTATGTGCATGCTCCAAGTCTTCTTCTCATATTTTTAGTGTATCTCTATGGCAGAATTACAGCGCCACATACTGGTCTGGGATGTCTACTACATCGATTTGAGTATGTTTCAGTGGTTGCGTGTGTATGCAGATATTTTTCGAGACACTGCCGTGTTTATGGACTTTTTTTTTTAGAACGAGGAAGAAAAAACGTTGGATAGGGAAAGCTCTGGCTTCGTGTGGACGTGGCCTAAAACTATAGAGTGCATTTTTTTTTTTTTTTTTTTAACTTTAAAGGAGTAGTTCACTTTAAAAAAAAAAAAATTGCTGATAATTTACTCACCCCCATGTCATCCAAGATGTCCATGTCTTTCTTTCTTCAGTTGAAAAGAAATGAAGGTTTTTGATGAAAACATTCCAGGATTTTTCTCCATATAATGGACTTCAATGGAAACCAGACGGTTCAAGGTCCAAAAGACAGTTTCAGTGTAAACTGTTCAAAGGGCTTTAAACGACACCAGACGATGAATAAGGCGAAATGATCGCTCATTTAATAAATAAATAACAAAGTTTTATAAGCGCACATGCTCGCCTTGCTCTGTTCTGTGATGCGTGTTCGTGACTCTCCTGTTCGAACTCGTTCATCAAAATGAACGAATCTTTTCCCAAGTCAATTCGTTAATTTCGTTCGCTGAATGAACCAAATGACAGGAAAACGTGTTTGAACAGAACACTCATCACAGAACAAAGCAAGCCTTTTGAATAGTTTGCACTGAAACTGTCTTTTGGACCTTGAACCGTTTGGTTCCCATTGAAGTCCATTATATGGAGAAAAATCCTGGAATTTTTCATCAAAAACCTTAATTTCTTTTCGACTGAAGAAAGAAAGACATGGACATCTTGGATGACATGGGGGTGAGTAAATTATCAGCAAAAGTTTTTTTTAAAGTGAACTACTCCTTTAAATAAAATAAACTTTAACTGAAATCAAATTAGACATTTAATTTCCAACAACTGAAATAAAAATAGCAAGTTCTGTCATGAAACTCTAGATGGCGCCGGCTGACTGGTGATTACCTCATTTGGCAGCGGTCGCATCGTTATCTTCATGGCACAGCTGATTGGTTGCAGTTTCATCAGCGTCCACATTCATGTACCGGTGTGTTGCTGTTATCAGTTTGCAGAAACCCTCCTCCCTCCCCAGATCCACCTGTGCAAATACATGGACATTTCCATATCCATTATTACCATGCCAATCTCTATTACCATATCAATCTGTACAGAACTGTAGAAATATTAAAAACACATAAAAATTCAAATCTTTAGACTTTGAGATCCTTCTATATATTGTTTTGGTCACAGTTTTATTTTATTGTCATATTTTTTTACTTAGTCTTATGATTGTGGGTGGGCTTTGTTGTAAATAGTTATACAGATAAAATGTTAAATAAAAAATCACAAAAATACATGCACACACAACCCGAAAATAAGCTGAAAATGTATAATTCAATATATTATGACAGAATCTCAGGGATAGTAACGCTGTATCTCTCCCCTAATTACTGCACTCATTAGCACTGATTGCAGAGATGTATTAATATTCTTTAATACACCCTTCCTGAAGCTCTTCTTCTCCCCGCAGCTGAAGATGTCGTGTGGCTCGTGTTTCTGGGCCGTGGTGTGGCTGCTGGTGCTGCTGGTCCTGGGCTGGCCCTTGAGTATAATGCTGGGGGGTCTTTATGGCCTCGTGGCCCCGCTCACCGTGTGTGTCGGCCTGGACCGGCTGGCGGACCTGCTGATGGAGGGAGCGAACCTGGGCCGAAAGTGTGCTCAGAACATGAGGCACGGCAAACCACTGTGCTGAGACCTCCAGGAGATTCGCATCTGTTCGTTTAAGCTGTGTTAATCCACGTCAGCGGGTCTGTGATGTCACTCACTGTGCGGTTGGTTCTCCGTGTGACTGACTCATCCTTAAAGCCTTAGTGACACTTTCCGTCTTCCTCTCTGTATCTGTGGCTCTCAGGCTGTTCGAATATGAAAAATTAAAATATTCTGAGAGAATTCTGGTACTGATGTCTGAGTTCAAAATGTGTGAGTGTACTGCAATTACTTCTGTGGCGGAGACAAGCTTCCATGCCGTTACTGATTGTGGATATGTGGGGCAAAACAAATATGGGGTCGATTTCAGGCCAAGAAAATGTATAAGCACTTGTTTAGGGCGGCTTCATCAACAACTTTGTGTCGCTATACACGCATAGAAATTTGAATTTACTAAAAGCTAAATAAATAAAACAGATTTGGGCAAATTTTGTTTGCGTTGGCCTACTAAGTAATTTGGTGAGGTCAATTTGTAAAGAAAAACGACACTCCTGTGCAAATATATAAATGCGTTACTAACGGCGTTAACGCAAACCCATTTTAACGGCGTCAATATTTTTATCGCTCGATTAACGGTCTTTTTGGCCTAGCAGACTTTGTAGTTTTTGTTCAAATGCTTATGCAACAGGACGTGGCGCTGCGCTATGAAACCTATTCATTTCAATGGCTTGCGTTGGCGAGGACGTTTCGTTTCTTCGTCGACCAAAGCGCAAGTGGATCTAGCTAGACCGGAAACTAAACAGGCATGCCTCCTCACACACTCGTTTAGGCTTGCGAGCCGGGCAAATAGTTGGTTAACGTTACGTTTTGAGTGGATGACGAGCATGAGACGTCGAAATAGATGCCAATAAGATTCTGAATGGAAAGTTTACTTATAAAATTTACCAAATTCACTGACATGACCAAAGTGATCTGTGTGTTTTGTCGTTATGAACTGAGCGATCATCATCGCAGCACGTCCAGTCTGAAATACCACCTGATGCGAATTCTCCGCCCCCTCGTCAGTATTTCTTTCACCCTTTTATCGATGGACAGTGTTACATTGTGTGAGAGATTATTTGCTCCAAGTGAGAATGTTAGTGTGAAATTGAACAACGTATATGCCAACGTTGTTTTCAATAAAAAACAATTGCACAAAGCAAGCCGATCCACTTTTCCATGTTGAAAAGAGCATTAAAATTAGAAAAAAATAATGGGACAAAAAGAAATCAAGAGACATCTAGAACAGATTAAAATGTGCAATCTATCGCGAGTTAACTATGACATTAATCGCGATAAAATATTTTAATCATTTGGCAGCACTAATTTATATATATGCAAACGCACATACCTATAGACTAAACACATAATATGCACGTGGTAATCACCATTTTCACAGATTCACGTTTTTGAAGTTTACACAGAGATAACGTTTTTCAAAAAACAGAGATGAGGATCCAAATGTATTGACTACTTTATTCAAACTAAACAACAAAGTAAATCCAGGCAACAAACAGTGTTTCCCTCTGAGAAAAGAAGAGCACACATAACATCCACATAGACCAAGAACATGACAAACTCTGAGTATTTAAACACACATGGGGTGATTGGCAAACAAGACACACCTGGGAACAATCAGGAACTAATAAACTATGAAGGACTTAAGGCCCTGTTTACACGAGAACGCTCGCGGGGTGAAAACGTAAAAATATTTTAGCGGATGTGCCTTTCGTTTACACGGCGACGGCGTTTTTGAGGCTTAAAAACGCCAAAAAGTGAAACCACCCTTCAGAGTGAAAATCTTAAAAACGCTCCAAAAAAACGGGAAAACCACGTTCCTGTGTAAACGGTAAAAGCGCAAATATCTGCTCGACAGTGAAAGTTGTACGCAGCCGCGTACACAAGTGGTTTTCTTGTAGTATGCACTCCTAGCCGCCTGAAGTGCATACTACATTGAATTTCACACACTTTTGCGTCACCATTTGCACGCGGATTTCCCACACAAAACGCTCGTCTAAACGCAGAATAAAAAGTGATGACGCAACGCCACTTTTGCGTTTTTTCCTCAGAATCGTTTCCGTGTAAACATAAACTTTTTCTACCCCTTTTCTGATGTGCGTCTTTGAGCGACTCATTTCAAAGCGGCCCCTTTAAATAAAAAGGAGATCCGTCACACCCCGCCCGCTCTCCAGGTCGATGAGTTCACGGTCGGTTCAACTCCCCACGTTCGGCCATTATTGTAGTTTGATAAGAGATCTACGATTATAAACTATAGCTTCAAAGAACATTTTTAGTCACTCGTTGACAAAAATGTCAACAACGGAAGACTTGTCCATCAAGCCTTACATATTCGAGCCAGAGCGAGCGAGTCGATAAAGACGACGACGAACCTGCAGAACAATGTGAGTTAACTGTTTTGTGTTATTAGTGAAAGTCGACTATTTCTCTTGTTAAAACAAGCACACTGACAAGATAAATGACTACGGTCTAATCTTACCACAAACAATCTGTATTGATAATATGATACGTTTAGAAAAGCAGCTAAATGACCATTGATGAAACTCAAGAACAGTAATACTGCAGACGTGTAACGTTACTTCAAAACAAAAACAAAGAAAGACAAAGGTACTGCTAAACCATGACCACCATGTGTTTTAAAGGGTTAGTTCACCCAAAAATGAAAATTAAGTCATTAATTACTCACCCCCATGCTGTACCAACCCCGTAAGACCTTCGTTCGTCTTCGGAACACAAATGAAGATATTTTTGATTAAATTTGAGAGCTGTATAACTACCACATTGGCTCCTAAGGGACTGCCTCTTGACGGCCCAGAAAGTCAATGAAGAAAATGTTTAAATATCCCAAGTGACTACCGTGGCTCAACTATATGTTTATCAAGCGACGCGAATACTTTTTGTGCGAAAAAACAAACAAAAATAACGAGTTTATTCGACTATTTATTTTCTTCCTTGTAGGCCAGAAACGAGACTTCCTTAGATTTCCACGACGCATGCGCGAGAATTGCGATCTGAAGTAGTGTAAGCTGGTGTGAGCAGATCGCAATTCTCGCGCATGCGTCGTGGAAATCTAAGGAAATCTCGTTTCTGGCCTACAAGGAAGAAAAGAAATAGTCGAATAAACTTGTTATTTTTGTTTGTTTTTTCGCACAAAAAGTATTCTCGTCGCTTGATAAACATATAGTTGAGCCACGGTAGTCACTTGGGATATTTAAACATTTTCTTCATTGACTTTCTGGGCCGTCAAGAGGCAGTCCCTTAGGAGCCAATGTGGTAGTTACACAGCTCTCAAATTTAATCAAAAATATCTTTATTTGTGTTCCGAAGACGAACGAAGGTCTTACGGGGTTGGTACAGCATGGGGGTGAGTAATTAATGACTTAATTTTCATTTTTGGGTGAACTAACCCTTTAAGAAAGTAAAGTACTTTATTTTTATTAACGATATTTACAGCTTATCGAAATGCTCTGTTCGTCGTCTCCAAAGATAGAAGGGATTTTCCCCTCATTCAGACGAAGTCGATCGGCAAACCCTTCTGGCAAAGGTTGTTGACGTACATCCAACAACCGAACATTTTGACTTGCCCTCTCGTAACTTCTGCATCATTGAGCTTGGATTACAAAATCGGAGCGAGAAATAATAATGGCGGATTGCTCGAAGTGTTGGACCGGTAGTCAATATCCTTATTTGTCAGTTCCGCTGCAAATATGGTGACGCTGTAGCTCAAAAAATATCATAGAGAACAGAAAAATCTGAACAGGTTGAAAAATATGACTAAAACAGAATATAAAGATATAAACGAAGCACCTGAAGAGAATAATTTCATCTTTTCTGTACTTATAAACACTCCAAATATACAAAAAAATGCATTTAAGGGCTAAAAAAGTAGATTTTGCGTGATATGTCCCCTTTAAAAACATGGTGCAAACCAGGAAATAACACACCAGTCCACACATGACAGGAACCCCTTTAAAGAGCGATTCCAGACACAACACTGAATTCAATTCAATTCTCATTTATTTGCAAAACACTTTTCACAAATTTTAGGCATTTTCTGTGAGGCTGCTTTGAAATGATGAGTCTACATTACAGTTTAGAGTGGTCTGTTCTCAGAGGTGAGTGTCAAGTTACGTTTTTCAAAAATGCACACACAGTTAGCAAACAATGAATTAATTAAAACAATGTAAGGTAACGCTTTACTTGAAGGGGTGTGCATAAGACTGACATGACACCTTCATAATCATATGACACATGCATATTTATGACAACTCATTAAGTGTCATTCCCTCAATTATGACAGTTTAATGCAAATATGACATTGTTTGAGATGTCTTTGTTATGACAACAAAGACACGGGCAGGTTATGATGTATTGGTTTATGTCAAGGTGTCATTAAGACATGTCAAACAATGTCATTTGCATTAAAACAGTTATAATTGAGCGAATGACACTTAATGACAGTTGTCATAAACATGCATAAACCCTCCTTCAT